ACAAAATCTTGATTTCAACACAGAGAAAAATTGAAAAAAAAATCTAAATTTTTAGGTTTTAATTTTTTTTGAATCCTGACAAGGTTAGGAGCAATTGCCAATACTTCGATTAAATTTTGAGCAAATCAAAATAAATTATAATATATAGTTGGAAAGAGCATTAAATTCTCTATAAATCAGTACTAGATTGAGTTTGATAACTCAAATACTTTTAGAGCTATTGAGCCTCAAAGTTGGATTTTAGTTGAAATTTAGTCAAAAACTTCAAACTCGAATTTCTCAAAAACCGTAAATGCCAGCGACTTCAACTAAGTACCATTTCAATGCTCTCATTAAGGGCTACAATCCGACGTTCTGATATACAAAAAAAGAGGCCCATCAAATCCTGAAAACCATAGAACCCCACCCATAAGCCTCCTGTCTCAGATATACATACTCTTAACGAGAATAATCACCAACCGCTTAGAATACATCTTAATGATGATACATCTGTAGTATATAGGCCTTACCGTTTTTCCCACAATGAACGAAAAGTTGTGAGACAAACTATGGAGGATTTATTGCATAGTAAAATAATTCGTGAATCAGATTCTCCTTACTCGGGTTCTATATTTTTGGTGAAGAAAAAGAATGGCGAGCAGCGTATGTGTGTTGACTTTGGTACAGTTAACGCTAAAACTGAACTGATTATTTTTTTTGGAAATTTTAAAGAGTTCTCAATATTTCACATGCTTAGCGGAGTGGTTATCACCAGATTGAAATCATCCATCCCAAAGACAGCTTTTATCACGTCAGATGGCCACTACGAGTACCTAAGGGTCCCATTTGGGTTATGAAATGCGCCTGCAATATTTCAGCGAACTATAAATAAAGTTTAAGGCAATTTACTATATGGAGAGGCATACTTAGATGATATTTTGTTGCCAAGCAAGGATTTTGATACAGGATTGTCAAATCTAAGAGAGGTGCTTCGAGTATTAGCTGCTCATGGTCTTACATTACGTTTGTCAAAATGTCATTTTTTCAAAGAATATTTAGGTCATGAAGTTTCTAAAGAGGAAGTGCAGCCAGGAAAAGGAAAAACTGAAGCAGTTAGTAATTTTCCAGTCCCCTCAGATGTTCGATCTGTTCATCAGTTTTTGAGTCTTGCTGGTTATTTCAGGAAGTACGTGCTACAGTCGCTAGACCTCTAACCTCTCTGATCAAAAAACATGGTAAATTTGATTGGAATATTGAACAAAGTAGAGCTTTCAATACTCTTAAAGATATTTTAGTATCGAGACCTGTACTAGCAATTTACGATCCAGAATTACGGACAGAAGTGATGCTTCCCAATGGGGTATAGGTGGAATTCTGTTTCAACAACAAGCGAATGGTACCTTGATGCCAGTTATGTATTATTCCAAACAAACGACAAAAGAACAGCTAAGTGGTGACTTAGTATTCAAGAATATACCTTTGATGTGATTAGTGTGTACATATGGTTTAAATATGTTTCTATTTGAAAAAAATAAAATATTGGACCCCATTTGGGCATGAGAACGCACCATCGACCAGAAGAAATTACTAGAGCTGTCTTTGTCTAGACCTGAATCGGTGAATATTGATCCAAAATCTTTGACGGGTTTCGAGAAAATTGAGTTTGAAATTTTTGAAATTAAAATCCAAAGGGGTTTGGGTTAGTACCGTAGCAACCCTAGTCGAAAAATGTAGTAACCCTAACGCAATTTAACGTTTCAAAGTAGGCTCTATAGTTTTTGACAGTTAATTTAAAATGGCTGGGTTGTTTCCAAGACCTACTTGATTTAATAAATTTTTTGCTTACAGCTATCTGTATCACCGACATCGATTAAAACCTGGTCTGTAGTATACGCGATAAATAGGTCGTGGGTGACGTCATGAAAATAGAATTCTACTTGTCATGATCCCAGTCCAGGATTGCTTCAAGGTTCACTTAGTTTTTGATAAGTAGTAATCTTATCGCTTGTCATAAATGATATTTGACATTTTGCCCAACAGTGTTGCCGATGCTAATATAATTACTGTTATGGAAAATTTGAAATTTGCAAGGTCTACATGGACTTTTTTTTGTATAAATTCGAGCCTCAATAATTGACACAATATTTGTTATAAGTTGTAGTTGGTAACACTGTTTGACAAGGGACAAAGTAGGCATTGAAAAATTTTAAAATTTAAATATGGCGCCCTGTAATACCGACATTGCAATACATACATGTTTCCGAAGCCTACTTGGTTTGATATAAGCCCGTAAGGCGAGAATTTTCCTGAAAAATCAACTTTCAACATTTCTGGTGATTTTTTTTTTAATTTGGTGATTTTTCATTCCAATTTCTGGTGAATTTAATTTTTTTGACCTGCCAACAGTGGGTGAGAGCTGCAGGTTAAATCTGAGGTAAATAATCCATTTATTTGTACTTGAACAATAACTTATTATATAAAGTCAGAATTCGTAAGATTATCCACTCTTTGTCAATTTGCCTTTCAACAGGAACTAGTAATGTTACTTTATCAAACGAGTAACATAATGTGACAAGTTATTCAAGTACAAATGAGTGAATTGTTGCGAAACTTATGGGTGGACCACTGCGGGACGAGCGCAGCGAGTTCCGCAGCCATCAATTCATCAATATGTTGTTTAAGTACGATACTAACCTGACTCACTCAAATGTCAGTTATTCTCATCAGTTCAAAAACTACACATTTCAGGTGAGTGTCTTATTTGAATACTTCAACAATATATTGGTGAGTAGATGGCTGCGGAACTCGCTGCGCTCGTCCCGCAGAGGTCCACCCATTAGTTTCGTAACAATACACTTATTTGTACTTGAACAATAACTTATTAACTTATTATATAAAGTCAGAATTTGTAAGATTATCCACTTTTTGTCAACATACCTTTTAACAGGAATTAGTAATGTTACTTTACCAAACTAGTAATATATTGTGACTAGGACAAAGGCGTGAATTGTTGCGGAACTTATGGGTGGACCCAGCCATCTATTCACCAATATGTTGTTCAAGTACGATACTAACCTGACTCACTCAAATGTGAGTTATTCTCATTAGTTCAAAAACTACACGTTTCAGATGAGTGTCTTATTTGAATAGTTCAACAGTATATTGGTGAGTAGATGGCTGCGGAACTCGCTGCGCTCGTCCCGCAGAGGTCCACCCATTGGTTTCATAACAATCCACTTATTTGTACTTGAACAATAACTTATTAACTTATTATATAACGTCAGAATTTGTAAGATTATCCACTTTTTGTCAATTGGCCTTTTAACAGGAATTAGTAATGTTACTTTACCAAACTAGTAACATAATGTGACAAGTTATTCAAGTACAAATGAGTGAATTGTTGCGAAACTTATGGGTGGACCTCTGCGGGACGAGCGCAGCGAGTTCCGCAGCCATCAATTCATCAATATGTTGTTTAAGTACGATACTAACCTGACTCACTCAAATGTCAGTTATTCTCATCAGTTCAAAAACTACACATTTCAGGTGAGTGTCTTATTTGAATACTTCAACAATATATTGGTGAGTAGATGGCTGCGGAACTCGCTGCGCTCGTCCCGCAGAGGTCCACCCATTAGTTTCGTAACAATACACTTATTTGTACTTGAACAATAACTTATTAACTTATTATATAAAGTCAGAATTTGTAAGATTATCCACTTTTTGTCAACATACCTTTTAACAGGAATTAGTAATTTTACTTTACCAAACTAGTAATATATTGTGACTAGGACAAAGGCGTGAATTGTTGCGGAACTTATGGGTGGACCCAGCCATCTATTCACCAATATGTTGTTCAAGTACGATACTAACCTGACTCACTCAAATGTGAGTTATTCTCATTAGTTCAAAAACTACACGTTTCAGATGAGTGTCTTATTTGAATAGTTCAACAGTATATTGGTGAGTAGATGGCTGCGGAACTCGCTGCGCTCGTCCCGCAGAGGTCCACCCATTGGTTTCATAACAATCCACTTATTTGTACTTGAACAATAACTTATTAACTTATTATATAACGTCAGAATTTGTAAGATTATCCACTTTTTGTCAATTGGCCTTTTAACAGGAATTAGTAATGTTACTTTACCAAACTAGTAACATAATGTGACAAGTTATTCAAGTACAAATGAGTGAATTGTTGCGAAACTTATGGGTGGACCTCTGCGGGACGAGCGCAGCGAGTTCCGCAGCCATCAATTCACCAATATGTTGTTTAAGTACGATACTAACCTGACTCACTCAAATGTCAGTTATTCTCATCAGTTCAAAAACTACACATTTCAGGTGAGTGTCTTATTTGAATAGTTCAACAATATATTGGTAAGTAGATGGCTGCGGAACTCGCTGTGCTCGTCCCGCAGAGGTCCACCCATTAGTTTCGTAACAATCCACTTATTTGTACTTGAACAATAACTTATTAACTTATTATATAAAGTCAGAATTTGTAAGATTATCCACTTTTTGTCAATATACCTTTTAACAGGAATTAGTAATGTTACTTTACCAAACTAGTAATATATTGTGACAAGTTATTCAAGGGCAAACGCGTGGATTGTTGCGGAACTTATGGGTGGACCCAGCCATCTATTCACCATTATGTTGTTCAAGTACGATACTAACCTGACTCACTCAAATGTGAGTTATTCTCATTAGTTCAAAAACTACACGTTTCAGGTGAGTGTCTTATTTGAATAGTTCAACAGTATAGTGGTGAGTAGATGGCTGCGGAACTCGCTGCGCTCGTCCCGCAGAGGTCCACTCATCTCATTTGGAAAAAGCTGAAAGCATGCAATATTTCACATTTCTGACATTCAATTTTTGTTTCTGACCATGGATTCTAAAAACACCTTTCATCTACCTGTAAAGGTAAAGGCTGTAGGTGGGGTGTCAATATATAAAAAAAAAACACCCTGTACATTTTATATGTTTTTATTTTCTGACGTCATTAAATTCTATTTCAGCTTACGAACTTTGGTTCAAGCAAATAATATTTGAACTGGACTCGATCCGAGACATTTTCGGAGTGGTTTTAGAGGAAATTCAAACCCTGGAAATTTTAAAACGATTAAATCGAATTGTATTAATTCTAAAGGTAGGTAACTATGTATAATAAGCAGTTAATTTCATTAAAATATTTCAGGTTCTCGTAGATCAAGTTATGATTCTAGAAACTATGACTCCGCTGGATTTTATGGAGTTCAGAAACTACTTGAGGCCGGCATCGGGATTTCAAAGTTTGCAATTTCGCCTTTTGGAAAATAAGCTGGGCGTGAAAGCGGACAATCGCGTCAAGTACAACAAGAATTACACTAAAGTCTTTGGAAATGATGAGGTAATTTCCATTATCCTCTTATGAATTGTTTGACTTTTTCCCATTTACTTATTTTTTTGTTGCTTGGCTTAGAAATCTTTTTTTTTTTGATAAATCCTTTCAACTATTATCAACAGGCAAACGTTTTATTTGTATTATGTATTTAGGTACCTACTTCAGGCACGTATCGAATTTTGAAATCTCTTAGCCGACGTTTATCTGTATAATAGAGTATTACGTAATTTTAACTACCATCAAAAATATGTTTTAAAATGTTCTCAGGAAGCTCTTAATAAAATCGAAGAATCCGAAAATCAACCCTCCCTTGCCATACTAGTTGAAAGATGGTTGGAACGGACTCCAGGCTTGGAAGTAGAAGGATTTAATTTTTGGGGCAAATACGAAAATGCCGTAAACTTATTGTTGGAAGAACAAAAACAAAATGCTTTGGTAAGACAATTTCAATAATTAATATTTCAAAAATGAGCAATTTAAAAAATGACTTTTTTGCCTTGAGAATCTACAAAATGCATATTTATTCAATCAAGTCTATTTTCACTCAATACACTTTATAGAAACCCGTTGTCTCTCTTTCTGGCTACAGACTTATTTTCTAAACAGGAGGTAAACGGGTCTAGACGTGAAACCATTGGATTTTATTAAGTCTTATTCTTGAAAACATATACACCAGTCGCCATGCTTTCGAGTGCTCGTTTGTGACAGGTGTGGCACGATAATCATTAGACTGGAACAAAAAAAAAAATGCATTTAGGAGATTTACATATTTTTTGCCAGACACTGTATGGATGAGACTATAATACTTTTTAATAATATAAGCTATCAAATTTAAGCTGATTCAATTAGCCAAAATACTTAATACCTAATCACCAACTATATCAGTATTCGATTTAGCTTGGCTGCTGAATAGTCGAGAACTAATCCAAAAATCCATTGTTTTTAGCTCGTCTGGACTATAAAGCCTCTTTTTCTTCTAATTAACTGCAATCGTAAAATATTTTTTATCGGGCCTAAATTAAAAGAAGTCCCGCAGCTATAGGGTATGTAAACAGTCGAGGTAGAGACCCTAATAAAATACCTACTCTTTTTTTTTTCTGTGCACCCATACGACGAAATCTTTGTTTTCAGAACACGTTTACTTTTTATTGTGTTAAACGATGATTAATATGAGTGGGAAGGTAGCTTATGATTTGGATTTTTAAAAACTTTGAAGACCCATAGCTTTTTTTCTAATATAGATGGAAAGCTAAAATTGTCAACGATTCTCATCCCAGTAGAGGACTACAATCCCTGCTGATTTGGACTTATAGTTTCAGAAATAGAATAGTGTTACGCAATTTGGGGTGATTAATCAATTTTTCTAAGTGATTTTTTTCATAGAATCTGGCTCCAAATCTCAGAATAATTTAGTGTATGGAGTTTGAAGGATCCCAAAGGACCATTAAGACACAAAATCTGAACAAAAAAAATTTGAAACATCATGTTTTTTTATGTATTGACACCCCACCTACAGCCTTTATGTTTACAGGTAGATGAAAGGTGTAAATACAAAAGTTGTACAGTATATTGACTAAATTTTTAGAATCTAGTATAGTCAAAAACCAAAATTGAATGTCAGAAATGTGAAATATTGCATGCTTTCAGCTTTTTTCAAATGGGAGGCGCTATATTTGGTTCTATATTCTTGAAGAGCACAATTTCCCGATTCCAAAACTATATAGTTTGTCTATATTTGGCTGAGCCGTCTCCAACAACAGCCTGTACAAATAAGTGGATTATTGCGGAACTTATGGGTGGACCTCTGCGGGACTAGCGCAGCGAGTTCCGCAGCCATCTACTCACCAATATACTATTGAACTGCTCAAATAAGACACTCACCTGAAACGTCTAGTTTTTGAACTAATGAGAAAAATTCATAACTGAGTGAATCAGGTTATCAGGTTAGTATTGTACTTGGACAAAATATTGGTGAATAGATGGCTGGGTCCACCCGTAAGTTCCGCAACAATCCACTCGTTTGTACTTGAATAACTTGTCACAATATATCACTAGTTTGGTAAAGTAACATTACTAATTCCTGTTAAAAGGCAAATTGACAAAAAGTGGATAATTTTACAAATTCTAACTTTATAAAATAAGTTATTGTTCAAGTACAAATAAGTGGATTTTTGCGGAACTTATGGGTGGACCTCTGCGGGACGAGCGCAGCGAGTTCCGCAGCCATCTACTCACCAATATATTGTTGAACTATTCAAATACAGTGCCGTAACTTCATCAGAAGGGCGCAATCTGCTACTAATCGTTAAGCATAAAGCGCCTTTTGCGTAACACACCAAAACTTCAAAGAGCGCTTTCCGGATTTTATTTTTGATACAGCAAAATAGATATTGATTTATTGCAATTTCCAACTTCCAGAGATAAAAAGCAAAATTGCATTCCAAGATTGAAAGAGTTTCTAAGTTCTAAAGCTGGACTTTCTTGATTCATTGCTTTATTCTGACTCTGGAAGGAATAGAGGTCAAAAAGAGCCTTTTCCACGAATTTCTAGCATCCAGAAACAAAGACATTGTGAAAATGCAATTTCAAATTCACTATTAGGCTTGAGTTTTGCTTCTCAGATCCCTGAGGACTGGAAGTTGCCATGAGAGAATTTTTTTAACATGTTGAAAAGTCAAAAGACCTTGTCAAGGAGATGTATGACTTGTTGAAAAGCTTCTCAAGGCAATTTCCGCCTCCCAGATAAAAACCAAAATTGCATTTCAAAGATTTAGAAGAGCTTCTAAGCCCTAAAGCTGGACTTTCTTGACTCATTGCTTTATTCTGACTCTGAAAGTTGCCCTTTGGAAGGATTAGAGGCCAAGAAGAGTCTTTTCCAGGAATTTCTAGTATTCAGAACCAAAGACATTGTAAAAATGCAATTTTAAATTCACTATTAGGCTTAAGTTTTGCTTCTCAGATCCTTGAGGACTGGAAGTTCCCACGAGAGATCTTTTTTGACATGTTGAAAAGCCAGAAATGCTTGTCAAGGCATATATGTCTTGGAAAGAGTGCTTCCCGGATTTTATTCTTGACACAGCAAATTAGATATTGATTTATTGATATGATACTAAAACAACCCAGAAGAAGATAGAAACCAAAAATGCGTGGTGAGGAAGGATATGACGAGGCCCATCTTTTCCAAAACTCATTTGGAAATTCAACTTTTGCAAGTCATTCAGGCAATTATAACACAGATGGAAGAAAGGTTTTTTGTTCCTAATACTGACAACTTATTTCGGTTTTTCTCAGTAGTCGTGCTATCAAGGAAATGAATCTAAGGATTAAAAAATGAATGAAAAGAAATGGGACCTTTACAAATGTTGCAAAGTATGTATGACTTTATTCTTGAAAATATTTATCTCAACATAAATATGGACAGCTTTAACCTCGGCTTCAACAATATTTCTGAGCCTTCCCATTGCTGCTACGTGTGAGCGTTTCTTTAGTAAGCTTGAGCTTATACAGGGTGTCCGGAATAACTTGAAGTACATAGGGCAATTTGAATTACAAAATAAATGCACACTTTTTCCTTTTTTGCCGTGTAGGTATATAAACTACCTATATCTGTTGCTATTCCGAGTTCAAAGAAGTTGATGACAGATTATTTGTAGGCACTTGATTGCGTAATTTTTCCTCATTTGGTTTACCCTGTATCTTCAATGGTTTCCAAAATCGCCATGTACCTCAAATTATTCAGGACACCCGGTATTGTCAATGATCCTCTTCTTTTGTGTTTCCTTGACCTGTTTTTTTGCTATTACATATAAAGTCCGTCGATTTTAATCTGATACTCGAAAGGAATGTGAGCTGGTGGCACCCTAAATTAGAACGCCAATGGTCACCTGACGTCACACCTGTTTTTGACATATACTTCACCCTCTCACTCCTCATACGGAAAGAGTCAGATAAAAATCGGCGAACAATAGATACCTATGTTATGTTTTTCAGTAATACTTTAAATTTTGAATTTCTGATATTAATATTTTATTAATGTCAAATGAAATAGGAATTTTTATATCACTTACCTACTTTTTTACATGAAATATGGGGCGGGGACGCAAATTAATAAGCTGCCACAGGCGCAAGCAGGTCTAGTTACGGCTCTGTTCAAATAAGACACTCACCTCAAATGTGTAGTTTTTGAACTAATGAGAATAACTGACATTTGAGTGAGTCAGGTTAGTATTGTACTTGAACAAAGTAAAAATGAATAAGATGACTGCGGATGATGCTGATTCCTGTTAAGAGGCAAATTGACAAAAAGTGGATAATCTTCACATAATAAGTTATTGTTCAAGTACAAATAAGTGGATTTTTGCGGAACTTATGGGTGGACCTCTGCGGGACGAGCGCAGCGAGTTCCGCAGCCATCTATTCATAAATATGTTGTTTAATTACGATACTAACCTGACTCACTCAAATGTGAGTTATTCTCATTAGTTTAAAAACTACATGTTTCAGGTGAATGTCTCACTTGCACAGTTCAACAGTATATTGGTAAATAGATGGCTGCGGAACTCGCTGCGCTCGTCCCGCAGAGGTCCACCTATAAGTTCCGCAACAATTCACTCATTTTTACTTGAATAACTGGTCACATTATGTTACTAGTTTGGTAAAGTAACATTACTAATTCCTGTTGAAAGACAAATTAACAAAGAGTGAATAATCTCACAAATTTTGACTTTGTATAATAAGTTATTGTTCAAGTACAAATAAGTGGATTGTTGCGGAACTTATGGGTGGACCTCTGCGGGACGAGCGCAGTGAGTTCCGCAGCCATCTATTCATAAATATGTTGTTTAATTACGATACTAACCTGACTCACTCAAATGTGAGTTATTCTCATTAGTTTAAAAACTATACACGTTTCAGGTGAATGTCTCACTTGCACAGTTCAACAGTATATTGGTGAACAGATGGCTGCGGAACTCGCTGCGCTCGTCCCGCAGAGGTCCACCCATAAGTTCAGCAACAATTTACTCATTTGTACTTGAATGACTTGTCACATTATGTTACTAGTTTGGTAAAGTAACATTACTAATTCCTGTTGAAAGACAAATTAACAAAGAGTGAATAATCTCACAAATTTTGACTTTGTATAATAAGTTATTGTTCAAGTACAAATAAGTGGATTGTTGCGGAACTTATGGGTGGACCTCTGCGGGACGAGCGCAGCGAGTTCCGCGGCCATCTATTCACCAATATACTGTTGAACTGTGCAAGTGAGACATTCACCTGAAACGTGTATAGTTTTTAAACTAATGAGAATAACTCACATTTGAGTGAGTCAGGTTAGTATCGTAATTAAACAACATATTTATGAATAGATGGCTGCAGAACTCGCTGCGCTCGTCCCGCAGAGGTCGACCCATAAGTTCAGCAACAATTCACTCATTTGTACTTGAATGACTTGTCACATTATGTTACTAGTTTGGTAAAGTAACATTACTAATTCCTGTTGAAAGACAAATTAACAAAGAGTGAATAATCTCACAAATTTTGACTTTGTATAATAAGTTATTGTTCAAGTACAAATAAGTGGATTGTTGCGGAACTTATGGGTGGACCTCTGCGGGACGAGCGCAGCGAGTTCCGCGGCCATCTATTCACCAATATACTGTTGAACTGTGCAAGTGAGACATTCACCTGAAACGTGTATAGTTTTTAAACTAATGAGAATAACTCACATTTGAGTGAGTCAGGTTAGTATCGTAATTAAACAACATATTTATGAATAGATGGCTGCAGAACTCGCTGCGCTCGTCCCGCAGAGGTCGACCCATAAGTTCAGCAACAATTCACTCATTTGTACTTGAATGACTTGTCACATTATGTTACTAGTTTGGTAAAGTAACATTACTAATTCCTGTTGAAAGACAAATTAACAAAGAGTGAATAATCTCACAAATTTTGACTTTGTATAATAAGTTATTGTTCAAGTACAAATAAGTGGATTGTTGCGGAACTTATGGGTGGACCTCTGCGGGACGAGCGCAGTGAGTTCCGCAGCCATCTATTCATAAATATGTTGTTTAATTACGATACTAACCTGACTCACTCAAATGTGAGTTATTCTCATTAGTTTAAAAACTATACACGTTTCAGGTGAATGTCTCACTTGCACAGTTCAACAGTATATTGGTGAACAGATGGCAGAGGTCCACCCATAAGTTCAGCAACAATTTACTCATTTGTACTTGAATAACTTGTCACATTATGTTACTAGTTTGGTAAAGTAACATTACTAATTCCTGTTGAAAGACAAATTGACGAAGACTGAATAATCTTACAAATTTTGACTATGTATAATAAGTTATTGTTCAAGTACAAATAAGTGGATTGTTGCGGAACTTATGGGTGGACCTCGCGTGACGAGCGTAACGAGTTCCGCAGTCATCTACTTCACAATATATTGTTGAACTATTCAAATAAGACACTCACCTGAAATGTGTACTTTTTGAACTAATGAGAATAACTGACATTTGAGTGAGTCAGGTTAGTATTGTACTTGAACAACGTATTAATGAATAGATGACTGCGGATGATGTTGATTCCTGTTAAAAGGCAAATTGACAAAAAGTGAATAATCTTATAAATTCTGACTTTATATAAGTTATTGCTGACAAATTTTGTTTCTGACCATGGTTTTTAAAAAGTCAGCCCAAGCTGTATAACTTTTGTATTTACACCTCTCATCTACCTGTAAAGGTAAAGGCTGTAGGTGGGGTGTCAATATATAAAAAAACACCCTGTACTTACATTAAGAAATAGAAAATGTTTGAGACATTTTTAAGAAAATAAACATTTTATTTGCTATTAACATTTTAAATTCCAATTCTCCTTGATACATTTTCTCGTTAAATAAAAATGTTATTGGTTGAAAAAAAAAACACCCTAAAGATATTTTGAATAACACCCTTCAATAAATAACTATAACTTGAGCTTGAATATATTTAGGTATATTTTTTTGTCCCTTCTACCTGTAGGCTATAAGAATTAAATTGTTTTTTTCGTGAAAATAAAACCCAATGAAATTGTACCTAAACTTTTAATTAATTTTAAAAATCGTATTTCTTTCAACAAAATGTTCCAGAAAGACTTGTGAGGGTTTCAAAATAGTAAATCGATTTTTATACAAGTTTTTTTTGGCTCTTGACAAGTTTTTTTTTGCAGAATGAACCCATTGAATCACTGAAGCAATATCGTCTAAACGATTTAGAAAAAAGGCGCGAAGTGTACGAGTCTATTTTCAGTTCGGAAATTCACCAAGCTCTATTGAATCGCGGCGAAAGAAGATTTTCACATAAAGCTTTCCAAGGTGAGTCAATTCTATATTATCAAGTTGCCTTATTTTGCCTATTTTTTTTTTTTTTTTAGGTGCCATTCTAATCACATTTTACAGAGACGAACCCAGATTCAATCAGCCATTTCAAATTTTGAATCTTCTCATGGATATTGATTCTTTAATTACCAAATGGAGATGTAACTTTGATTTTTGTGTTTGAATCAATTTGTTTTCACATATTTATGTTTTAGATAATCATGTGCTTATGGTACAACGAATGATTGGTTCTTCACAACTTGGTACAGGAGGTTCTTCTGGTTATCAGTATTTACGCTCAACTTTAAGGTACATATAAAAGTCAAAGTTTGTCACAAGTACATACTTGGAGTACAAGTACAAAGTACCTATTTAAAGTTTTGTAGAATAATTGAAATGCAAATTACATTTTTGTCTCAAATGTACTCCAATTACTCAATAAAAGTAGGTACTGCAATTTTTCAGAACTCTTAAGTACAATTGAAGTATTTTAAGTAGGTATTTTTTACTTCAAATACATTATAATGGGTCTTTCTCAGAAATATAAAACATGACAATTTTTTCATTTGTAATTTTTTTTGTCAAAAATTAACCATAGTACATAAAGTAGGATATAAAAAGACTACTTTCAATACTCACTAAATTATTGATAATTTATTTGGTATGTAAATTTACTATGGGGAAACCTTGAGTATATAATTAATAATTTGGTGAATATTATACACTTTTGAAGCACTTTTATATTACTTGGAGTAGTTATGATGTAGGTACCGATGATGTACTTGATGAAATCAAATACAATGGCAAAGTACATTGTTAAAAATAATTCCAAGTACCGTGTATTCACTGTGCTTCAAATACTTATAACAACTTGAAGTACAGTTTCAAGTACTTTTCTCTGACAGCTCTAATAGAAGTAAAACAAATCAATGTTGTTTATTGAATTTCAGTGATCGCTATAAAGTTTTTGTGGACCTTTTCAATTTGTCCACCTTCCTGATTCCGAGATCCTACATTCCACGGCTCAGTCCGGACATGCGCAGCAAATTGTGCATGTGGAGTAACGGCGTCGAGCCGAACGGAGTTACCGGAAACGGAAAATGCGGTCTGGAAATTGAAGATAATGGATTTGAAGAAGATATTGTATGACTTTAGAAAACAAAAAGATTACCTATATCTGAAGTCAAATCTTTTTTTAATAAAATGATCGATTATATTGGGATGAATAATAGGTATCTACACATATTAGGTTGTAATTAATCTTATTAGGAATGAGAAGACCATTTGATTTAGGGGGAAATAAAAAGGTGAACTTATATGAATAGATTTTTCCACCAGAACTTTAATATTGGATCAAATAATAATAATTATGAATGAAATAAGTTATTGTTTTACAAATATGGGAATATCTATTAACTTTGCCTGATCATGATTAGCTTGGCAGGTTAACTAGGCTTTAAATAAAATGAATGTGTGTATCCCTTAGAAAATTATGTAATTATTATTTTGTAAGTTTAACATTAATTGATTTTAAGGAAATATTTGTTAGTTATATTAAAAAATTCCCAAAAACAAGATGTTTAATATCAAAATTTGACTCATATAATAATGTTTTTTATTGGCATCACGTGTTAAACATTTCGTCATAAAAATGTTATGTTTACGTATATTTTTTTTCCCACATAATAACAAGAATAATAATGTCGTAAACGATGATTTACAACGAAGTAAAAGTACTAATTTCTTATTTATATTTCTTCATTTCCGCTTATCATTTTTATTAAAGTTTGCACCGCAATTTTTGGCAGTTACCCAATTTACAAGAGATGCCTCCTTTGGGGTCTGTTCATCATCAATCTGCTTTTATCGGAACGACGTTTATTTCCTCTGCGCTGCAGAAACGGTTTTGAGATTAATTGTTTTCAATAAATTCACTTTTCTGATTTGTAACTTTTTACGTGGATTTCTACGATAAATTATATTATGTAAGAATTTTGAGTCACTATACATCATTTATCTAATTGATCTTTCTATATTGAGGCTTGAATGATTACTTATTAGAACTGTTTGATTTCCCTGACGTCATTTTTTCGTAAATTTTTGAAGACCCATAACTTTTTGTCTATTAGATATAGATAGATAGCTGAAATTTCCACCGAGTCTTATCCCAGTGGGGGACTACAATCCCTGAAAATTTCAGCTCATTTGAACTTATAGTTCCAGAAATAAAATCGTGTTAAGCAGTTTGGGGTGATCTATAAACTTCCCAAGGATCCCAAAGGACCATTAAGACAAAATCTCAACAAAAAAAAATTGAAATTTCATCGTTTCAGTTAGAACGTAGCTTAGGTATTTACCTTATGATTTAGATTTTGGAAAACTTTGATAAGTCATAGCTTTTTTTCTATTAAAGAGAGCTGAAATTTTTAACGATCCTTATCCCAGTAGAGGACTACAATCCCTAAAAATTTCAACTCATTTGGACTTATAGTTCCAGAAATAAAATCGTGTTAAGCAATTTGGGGCAAAAGGGTTTTTGTGAAAATATGGACATTTTTACCCTAGTCTCGGTCACAAATGGTGCTGGAAGTTATAGGCAGGCAGATCATTTAAACACAAAATCTCAACACAAAAAATTTCATCATTTAGTCCCAAACTTTGAACACACCATAACTTTTTTTCCATTATATACGATTATATGATAGAAAGCTGAAATTTTCAGCGATAATTATCCTAATTTCAGCTCATTTGGACTTATAGTTCCTAAGAAAAGAAACAGAATTAAAAAAAATGCAAATTTTTGAGATTTTATTTATTTATTTATGTTTAAGTGCACTCTATAGAACAAATTTCTAAATGGTATACTGAAGAAATAAACCTAAAATAGTATAAAGTATATTCAAATTTACACAATTATTAAACGATATACTTATACCTAGTTAGATATACTTAAAGAAGATAGTACAATTATGTACACATTTCTGTTTTAATTACATTCAGAGTGGTATCGAAGAGATCTATATGGGAAAAGTTCTGATTGTAATTAGTGACTAGACGTGTCATGATGCAATTCAAACCATAGTTAGTTCTATGGACAGGTTGGAAAAAGAGCTGCCTCTGTCGGGTTCTTCTTCCAGGAACCAGAAATGCAATTTCTGTCAGAAGTTCAGGCGAGTTGACAATGTTCTGCAGAATTTTGTAGAGAAAAATGAGCTGGACCTTTTTGCGTCGATTCTCAAAGCTGGGTATACCGCAGAAACGAGTCTCATACTCAAGGTTCTGGTAAGGAAATCTCAGTTTGTAGAGCAGGTATTTGGCAACTTTATTTTGCACTCCTTCTATCCTCCTAATGTGGCATACGTGACTTGGAGTCCAAATTGGGCTGCAGTATTCAAGAGTGGATCGAATGAGACTGTAATATAGACAAATAATGGACTTTATATCATATATGTCTCTGGTGTTTCGTTTAATGAAACCTAGAAGTCTAGAACTTTTTATGACTATGTTGTCGATATGTTTGTTGAAAGACAAAGGTGACTCCTAGGTCTCTGAAGGTGTCGACTGTTTCCAAATTGGCGTTGTTGATGGTGTATGTAGGCAGTATGGGATTTATGGTCTTGTGAAAAATCATGTATTTGCACTTAGTAACATTGAGTTTGAGTAGATTTGATTTGCACCAACCGACCAACCTGTTTAAATCCGACTGCAGAGAGATAGAGTGCTCGTCCACAACTGCGAAAAACTTCAAGTCCATCAGCGTATAGTAAGCAGAGGGATGATTGGAAGCATTGGATGACGTCATTTATGAAGAGAACAAACAGAATCGGTCCGATGTGTGATCCCTGAGGGACCCCGGATGGAACTATGAACTTGTGGGATACTGCACCGCACACACCGACTTTCTGATATCTTTCCGTTAAGTACAATTCTATGAATTTCAAGAAACCTTCACCGAAGCCCATATCTGAGAGTTTTTTTAATAACAACTTATGGCACACACTTAGGTAGAAATAAGGTACTAACCGTCAGCAAGTTGGTAGTTGAACTGTCGCTGCACTGGTCGCTTATATACAATTTGTCAGGTTTGGAACACAGAGGATGTCGAGGTCTTCCAACTAACATTTTATCGTCGCAGGACGTAATGCCACTAGACCTGACGTCGGCGCACTACGTACATCTGACCACATGCCGACTCAGAGTTACACCAATTTGGTGAACAAATTAGGGGTCACATAGACGTCAGAATTCGACTTCGGGTCAGATTGAAGAGTTCTAGCGACCTTACTCAAAGATTTTTGAAACGTAATTCTGAGGTTAGAATTAGATAAAATTAGTATAGAGTCATATCGTTTTTTCTTATTGTTGGTCACATAAGGAATATTTTTTATAAGTATCATGCTATTGGTAATTTAAAAAATCCTCTACATGACTTTACGGAACAGATGCGTTATCATGACTGTCACATACCTGCTAATATGGATATAAATAAATAATTGGATACAGAACGGCAGTGAAGAAAACTTATGCTAGACATTCAGAGTGGCGACAATTTCCAAACGCATATGGCACTTCATTGATAATAATTATTAAGATACCTAGGTCATCCATAAAAAACCGGGGCCCTTGGAATATTCACTAATTAATGATATTTATAATTAATTTTTCTAATAATTAACTTGAGGACATGTTAATTTTTATGTTGTTTGACAGTAACTGAGTTTGGAGTTGAATATTATTTGTGCATAAGAAATAAATACATTTGGATCTAAATCATTCTGAGGTGTTTATAATTTATTAGTTGAATGTTTTCAATTACCTACTTTAATTTCAAATATTTTTGAATGGGGTTTAATAGAGTCTTCATGTGACTACACTCTTTACCTAATTTGACTATTATTACAATAATTTATACCTAGTGGACTGATATTGAACCTAAATGCACGACAAGGTGTAATACCTATATTTGACCAATAATGACCTTTGGTAACAATTATTACAAAAAAAATTACAAATTATGTGTATTAGTTAAGAAATAATTACCAAAGTTTACCTAAAAATCATTGGCTAATTATAATTACGATAGATCCAACAAATTGGACTCAAGAATGAGACGTCTTATTACCTTAGTTATTCTGATACCTAATTGTGACGTCGAAACTACGATTAATTAAATTGTGGTGTTTTGATCAGTACGCGACGTCTAAAAGAAGTCGGATGAATACCTCCTGCCAGTTGGCTACGTCTACGCGACCTCAGAGATTTACTTCATAGTTCTTAGTCGAGAACTGACGTCAATATAAAGTCCAGAATATACCGAATTCAAAATAAGCGATATTTAGGTCACCACAAGACGTAATATCGACAGATGATAACAGCTAGAGGTAATCTTAAGGTTGATCGGACCTCTTAGGAAGAACGTCGCCAGATAACCGAAATTTCTAAAGAATGTGACGTCGTGGCTAGTAGTCGAATTAGGTACCTAACTGGATCATAAAATGCTAGTTGGGAGAGGCCTGAAATGTCCGTGAAGATCACAGGTCCACTTGTTCTCCTGATTCCAAAGCTTTCATTAGGAACTGTTGATATAGGCAGTAAGATTTTCCCTTGCAGAAGCCGTGCTGTTCGTTAGCAATGTAGTTACTAAAGCATGAGTACACATCGTTTGTTAGAATGGATTCCATAATTTTGGGTATGTGCGATACTAGAGATATGCCTCTATAATTATTCACATCAATGTTATCTCCTGATTTATGGATAGGGAAAAGTGTTAAGACTTTCCAACTTCTGGGAAAAATGCCAGTATCGAAAGAAAGTTGGAAAATATGCTTCAGAGGTTCTATGTGCAACAGCCTTTAAGAAACACTGGGGAGAGACCATCTGGTCCTTTGAGGTATCAAGATCCAGAATTTTTCTCTGTATTTCCTCGGCCGTGAAAAGATGAACGGAGAGCTAAGGTCCAAAAGGGACTGAGCAGTAGTCTTCCTTGATCTCAACATTCTTGTGGTTAGAGTAACAATTCTTGAAGTGTGTAGCAAAGAGTTCAGCAATCTGTTAAGGGTTCGAAGAATGGATATTGTTAAAATGCATCTGATTCAGCAATCCTGCATCTCTCTTCAAAGATCTTATAAATGACCAGAAGTGTTTCACATTTGACGGAATCAAATGCTGATGAGCTTTGGTAACATGTAACAGGTAGCACATATCACTATGGTACTTCACGTGTTTCCGGGCTTCAGAGTAAGCTTCATAGTCCGTTTACCGTCTTGATCTTCTGTACTTCTTGTAGAGTCGATTTTTATGTGCAATTAACTTTTTCAGTTCAGTGTTGAACCAATTGGGATATTTGTCTACCCTGATGGTTTTTTTGGGAACAAACTGATTAATTCCTTGCTGTATAAACTTCCTACAAACTAACAACCGTTTCATTAGAGTCGCCATTACGTAAGCACAGATTCCAGTCAATACTGTTGAAGTAATTGTTCAGTTCCGTATAGTTTGCTTGTTTAAAAAGGTAGATAGTAGCAGGATCCTCGGCTTTTAGCACTTGTATACTTTTATATGAGAAACTAGAGGTGGATGTATATCAACCACCCTACACAGTGGAAATAAGTCACTGGTTTTGATCACAGGTAGAGAAAGTTCAGTTGCGAGAATGAGATCCAGGGAATCCAAGGATCTATTGTAGCTGTTCTGCACATTGTTAAGTTGCTAAAGTTCCATGAAGAACATAATATCTATCAGAATTTGCTCGGCCAAGGAGTGTGTAGATTCGGGTACCAGAAAATCATCCTCTGTGATCCAGTTGATATTCGGAAGATTGAAGTCGCCGAATATGATAAAACTGGCATTTACATATTTGTTTTTCAATGATTCACATACTGTTACAAATGACCTGTAAGTCATCTCAGGGGAACTTGGAGGGATGTATGCTGATCCGATCACTATCTCACAGCCAGTAGATCCATATTTGTTCAAATTCAATAAAGTTTGCAGTCGGTATAAGCGAAGACTGAAAGTTGCTGTCTAGCGCTATTAAAACTCCCCCTCCTCGATCCATGTTGGTTGCTGCATAATCCTGATCGGCTCGGAATATTGTGTAGAGGGGAGGCAACAATTCAGAATTGTTGAAAGAGGAATTTAGCCAGGTTTCAGTGAGGACTATGAAGTCAAAATTACAGCTAACAGCATTTCTAAAGAGTTCTTGGGTTTTTGTTCTTAGGCCACCCATATTTTGGTAGTACCTAAAAATTGAGAGCAGATGGGATGGTCTTAGGTTGTGGGTTTCTATTGAGGGTTGTGGTTGTGCCTTTGACCCCGCCCAGGCTGCGTACCTCTGAAAAATCTAGTCTGATGAGTGGCTGGAGGTCTGTGACGAAAGGAATGAAATTTGCCAATCTCCATATTCATGGGCCAAAACCTCGCCTTAAACTCTTGTATTCGCCAAATCTAGATGGAAATTCTTGTACCTTGAATTGGTGGTCAGATCCAAAGATATCTGTTAAGTATTTTGTGAAATTAGCTTCACCAATGGTGGTCGAGACTTTTCTCTGCAGCAGAAATGGTTAATATACTCTCCGGTTTCCTAGTGCCTCTGATGAAAGATGCTTTGGCAAGTATTGCCGCTGCCGAAAAGTTTTGAATTTCAAACTTGTTTATCATAAATAATGTGATGAACCACAAATTAATATTCCAAAATATAAATTTTCTATTGAAATCAAATGTATTCCACAAACCTGCATCAACAAAACAAATATTCAGATGTAGGTACATATAACTTCTATATTGTTTTTTAAATAGATTTGACAATATTTTCTTATGAACTAACTAAACCTATAAAACAAAAAAAAAAAAACAACGATTACCTATACTCAATATCATAAAAATTATATAATATTAACCCAATATTGTATAATAAGAAAGATCAATTTTATGTAGTCGAGATGTGATGTAAGTATATAAATTTAAGAAAAAAAATCCTACAAAATTTCTTTCTATAGTTATATCTAAACAAAATATAAATATATGTAACATACACTATCACAATGGGAAATTCCAGTTTTGGAAATAGAAAATAAACTCCATCAATGAGACAAAAAATAGTTGGCAGTAAAAATTGTATAAAATGTCCTCTCAAATATCAAAAAACCTAACGCCTCATTTTCTTTTTCCTCAAAGCTTTTAGTCGTTTTTCCTCTTCCTCCTTTTTAATGTCTTCCAGATCTTCCATAATACCAATTTTGGTACTGATTGCTTCCTCTTTCATCTGCTGAGCAAAACTAGCTTCCATATTGTCAATTTCCTCGTCCACTCCTTTATATCTGGATTTGTCATAGCCAAAGATTTCTTTAATGTAACTGGAGTAGTCATTGCCTTCGTCACCATCATCAATAAAATCATCCAGTTCAGAGTCATATTCGGAGTCGTCATCATCAATTATTCGACCTATGCAAACAAAATAATAATTAATGTATCATAATTTATATTATTAGGCTTCTTACCTCTACTTGCCACTATTGGCTTCTTTCTTTTTATATCCCTGACATCTGGCGGAGGAAATTGTTTTATTTGAGGCTGCAAAAAATAAATTGTAATCTTGTATTTTTTAGTAAATATTTAAATCTCACCTTAGGCAATAAATCCCTTGGTGGAAACTCTTTGAGTTTGCTACCAAGTATACCCTTTTTGGGTACAATATCGTTTTTTCTTGGAGGAATACTTTTACTTGGCACATTTGAACGATGACTGCCTGATGATGATGATGATGAAGCATTGTTATTATTAACCTTGGCCAAACTTTTGGGACTATCATTTTTACTGTTTGAGGATTTATTATTAATAATTGAAGGCTTTTTAATAGAACTAGCAAATTTGACTTGTTTTAAAGGTAATTTGTCTTTTTCTTTTATCAAAGTAGGCTTTTCACTAGTAGTTGACTTTGTTAATGCCTTTTCTAATATTTTAGACTCAGCAGCAAGGTTGCTGCTATTACGATCCATTTCTTTGTGACGATTTTCACGTTTTTTCCTCCATTCTCTCTCAAATTCCAACTCCTTTTTTTGCTTTTTAGTGTACAGTTTTTCTTCTTCTTGTGGTTTTTCCTCTATAATAATTGGCTCGTGCTGTTTTTGAGCTGCAATTTTCAAAAGATCAGTGAAACTCATTGGAGGTGGAGCAGCAGGTCGAGGTTTTTTAGGTTTGGCAACATCTTTTTGTTTGTTTTCTAATGTTCGTTCAGGACTATCTGCTTTTTCCCCGTTTTTGTTATCTTCTTCCACATCTTTCTTTTTCCTTTTTCTCCTGTGAGGTTGCATAGCTTCCTCTCGTTCTTTTTCCAGAGCTGCTCTTACCCTGTCTTTTGTGTTGTTTAGATTGGAACTGACTTTTTTCTTGAGCAAATTGAATTTGGGTTCTTCAGGCATCTGGCTATATTTCTCCATCATTTTTTCATAGAGAGCTGAAGCTTCCTGAGACACGTATCCGTAATCGTCTTCGTCAGGCTGGTCAAGACCTGCCTTAGTGACTGCCGTTTGCTGATTATCTGTAGCATCGTCCAGAACAGACTGATTAGCTGATTTGGTCCTTTTCAACATTACATTGACACGACGTGTTGCCTTTTTGTCTTGGGATCTTAGTGCTAAAAGTTCCTCTTTTTTCCGTTGTTCTTCAAGACGTTTTTGCGCTTCTTCTGCTTCTTTTTTAGCCAGGAATTTTTTGATATTGTCTGATAAATCTTTGTTTTCTTTTTTGATTTTTTTGGGTGCTTCGAATTTTGTACTGTAGTATCTAGCCTTGAAAAAAAAAACTATAAATGAGAGTGATAATGCGTAACTTCGAGTGTAATGGAATTTATGTGCGCCTCCGCCAAAAGATACAGAATTGGATAGCAGAATTCTAGATTTTTACAGTGCTCTTCAGGAAAAAGGGTCTATCGCGTTTATTCTGGATCAAGGGGCAAACCACCTAGGAATTCTTTGCCAAAAATGTGGGGAATTTATAGGAATTTAAAAAATTCAAAAGAATAATGAATACAGTTTTTGTAGGCTGATTTCCAAGATTTTTCATGTTGTTATTTTGAACTGGAAAAATTTAAAATTTTGGGAAAATGAGTTTCTACCCTTTCTCTTTACATGCAAAAAGTTTCAAATTTCTCCCTTCACTAGTTTTCCAGGAAAACTTTGAAATATATGGGACTGTATTTTCAATTAATTCAGATATTGTGGGTTGATTTCCAATATTCCTCATGTTGCTGTTTTCTACTGGAAAAATTTAAAATTTTGGGAAAATGAGCTTCTCACCTTCTTATTTACATGCAAAAAGTTTCAAAATTTTCCTTTCAGTAGTTTTTCAGGAAAACTTTGAAATGTGTGAAACTGTATTTTTAACTAATTCAGTTTTTGTAGGTTGATTTCCAAGATTCCTCATGTTGTAATTTTTCACTGGAGAAATTTGAAATTCTGGGAAAATGAGCTTCTAACCTTTCTCTTTACATGCAAAAAGTTTCAAATTTCTCCCTCCACTAGTTTTCCAGGAAAACTTTGAATTATGTGAGACTGTATTTTCAATTAATTCAGTTATTGTAAGTTGATTTCCTCGTTGATTTCCAATATTCCTCGTTGCTGTTTTCTACTAGACAAAATTTAAAATTTTGGGAAAATGAGCTTCTCACCTTCTTATTTACATGCAAAAAGTTTCAAAATTTTCCCTTCATTAATTTTCAAGGAAAACTTTGAAATGTGTGAGACTGTATTTTCAACTAATTCAGTTTTTGTAGATTGATATCCAAGATTGTTCATGTTGCTATTTTCCACTGGAAAAATTTGAAATTTTGAGAAAATGTGCTTCTCACCATCTTCTTTATATGCAAAAAGTTTCAAAATTTTCCCTTCAGTAGTTTTTCAGGAAAACTTTGAAATATGTGGGACTGTATTTTCAATTAATTCAGTTATTGTAGGTTGAATTTCAATATTCCCTGATGTTGCTGTTTTCCACTGGAAAAATTTTAAATTTTGGGAAAATGTGCTTCTCACCTTCTTCTTTGCATGCAAAAAGTTTCAAAATTTTCCCTTCAGTAGTTTTTCAGGAAAACTTTGAAATGAGTGAGACTGTATTTTTAATTAATTCAGTTTTTGTAGGTTGATTTCCAAGATTCCTCATGTTGTAATTTTTCACTGGAGAAATTTGAAATTCTGAGAAAATGAGCTTCTAACCTTTCTCTTTACATGCAAAAAGTTTCAAATTTCTCCCTCCACTAGTTTTCCAGGAAAACTTTGAAATATGTGAGACTGTATTTTCCACTAATTCAGTTTTTGTAGGTTGATTTTTTCATGTTGCTGTTTTCTACTGGAAAAATTTTAAATTTTGGGAATATGATGTTCTCGTTCTCACCTCGCTCTTTACATGCAAAAAATTTCAAAATTTTCCCTTCACCAGTTTTTCAGGAAAACTTTGAAATATGTGAGACTATATTTTTTCAATTAATTCAGTTATTGTAAGTTGATTTCCAATATTCCTCATGTTGCTGTTTTTCACTGGAAACATTTTAAATTTTGGGAAAATGTGCTTCTCACCTTCCTCTTTACATGCAAAAAGTTTCAAAATTTTCCCTTCACCAGTTTTCCAGGAAAACTTTGAAATATGTGAGACTGTATTTTTAGTTAATTCAGTTATTGTAAGTTGATTTCCAATATTCCTCATGTTGCTGTTTTCCACTGGAAAAATTTTAAATTTTGGGAAAATGTGCTTCTCACCTTCTTCTTTACATGCAAAAAGTTACAAAATTTTCCCTTCAGTAGTTTTTCAGGAAAACTTTGAAATGTGTGAGTTTGTATTTTTAACTAATTCAGTTTTTGTAAGTTGATTTCCAATATTCCTCATGTTGTAATTTTTCACTGGAGAAATTTGAAATTCTGAGAAAATGAGCTTCTAACCTTTCTCTTTACATGCAAAAAGTTTCAAATTTCTCCCTTCACTAGTTTTCCAGGAAAATTTTGAAATATGTGAGACTGTATTTTCCACTAATTCAGTTTTTGTAGGTTGATTTCAAAGATTTTTCATGTTGCTGTTTTCTCGAGGGGCAAACCACCTAGTAAAAAAGTGTACACTAACTGCCAAACTGCCAAATAATGCTCTTTACTGCTTATAATGCCATTCACTGCTTGTAATGCCATTTATTTTTGAATAATACCATTTACTGCTGATAATGCTTTAAAATGCCATTACTGCCTGTAATGCTTCTTATCGTTCAAATATAGACAACGATTTTTGAGAAAAAATACCACCGACAGATGATGTGATAAATGACAAATACTGTCAAATACTGCTAGTTACTGCCGAATAATGTTTGTTAATGCCGAATCGTGTGCCGAATACTGCTCGGTACTATCAAATAATGCTAGTTATTGCCAATAATGCCAGATGAATGCCAGTACTGCCACGTGTTTTTCCACCAACTGCCACTAGTGGACCTAGTGGTTGACCCCTTAGGCAAACCACAGAACAGGCAAACAACCTGGTAAAAATGTGTACACCAATTGCCAACTACCAAAATGCCATTTACTGCTTGTGATGCCATTTATTTCTGATAATGCCATTTACTGATGATAATGCTTAAAAATGCCATTACTGCTGATAATGCTTCTCATTGTTTGAATATAGACGACGATTTTTAGGCGAAAATACCACCGATAGATGTCGCTATAAATGACAAATACTGTCAGATACTGCCAAATATTGCTAGTTACTGCCGAATAATGCTTGTTACTGCTGAATAATGCTTGTTACTGACGAATACTGCTCGTTACTACTAAATAATGCCAGTTATTGCCAATAATGCCAGTACTGCCACCTGTTTGTACACTAACTGCCACTAGTGGTTGACCCCTCATGTTTTCTACTCGAAAAATTTGAAATTTTGGGAAAATGAGCTTTTCACCTTCCTTTTTACATGCAAAAAGTTTCAAAATTATCTTTTTTATTAGAGGAATTTGTGGATTGGAGAAGTTCGTGGTAGGGTATTTGGAGGAATTTGTGATGGAGAATCTGGAGGAATTTGGAGGAATTTGCAGGAATTTTGTGGAATTATGTGTAAAAAATTCCCCTTTGAGGAATTGTTTGCACCAATTATGGGATGGTGGGTGGTTTACCTCTTGTTCTGGATTTTGCAACCATAGATTGCAGATATATAAAGGCCGGTATTAGGTAGTAGTTTTCAAGATTAAGTTTTAAGATTGACTGTGATAGGATTTAAATACAGAATTTTGTAACAGTTGTAAAGAGTTTAGAGTTGTTTGAGTTAACTAGTGAAGTAATTAGTGTCAGAGTCAAAGTGTGTAGAAATGTGGAATTAATTATTGTTGCGTTAATTGGACTTTGATTTTGGAATAAACAAACCCAAGATTTATGTCACGCTACCCCGAACCATGACAGTATCCAATATTATAGACAAAAACAACAAGTAGTGTTAAATAATTATTGTGAGGTATATTCTATTCATAATTCGATGTCCACAGGTACAGGTAAATTTATCACCCTTCCCTATCAAATAGCATTGGAAGGTGATACATTTTACCTGTACCTGTGGATATCGGATTGTGAATGGATAATATGGTAAATATAATTTATTGAAATTGAAATAATTAAGGTAAATAATGAGGACAAATCTTGCTATAGTAAACAAAGCCTAAACTTACCCTATTGGAACTATTTTGGTCATTTTTTTGTGCCTTATGCAGTAGCTGACAAAAATCCATTGTATTTTTTTGATAATCGTGCACTTCTTCAAGCGAAAATTTGGATTTTTCCTAAAATGGAAAATATTATGTTTTAATTTTTTACACCCAAGAAAAGAAGATTCAAGAAATAATTTTCATTTACCACAACGTCAACACAGCCTGAACTGACAAGTGACATATAAGTGACAACAGCACGGGCGCTATCTTTCATTCATTTTAATGCACCATTATGAGATAGCCATTCCGATTTTCTGTATGAACTAGACAAAGATAGACTTAGCACTTAGCATAGACTGATCCAATGATGATTTAGGCAATTCAATCCATCTGTCAAATAGGAAAATTCAATATGGCGTGGCGGCCAAGCAAGTTTGTTTTGAATGTGTATTTATGCGTATTTCAAATTATTTTGCTTAGAGTTTTGCTTGCAACTTTGATTTGGATTATTTAATAAAATATTTGTTGACTAGGTACCTAAACTAATAAATCGGGCAGAATCTAGATATTTTTTTGTGTTTTTTGGCCCATGTGTGTCCGCCACGCCATCTTGAAAGTCACGTGGTTTGAATTGCCTAATAAAATGTGTCTAGAGCTAGGTTTTCAGTTCAGCAACTTCTCAAAATCAAAAAAGGGAAATCCAATAAAAAATAAACATAAACAAACAAAAATTGAAAAATACAGTTTTTTTTAATAATAACTTTCCTCTTTCCTTTAACAAATGATTTCTTTAATAATTTCAAATATTAATCCGAGAATGTAAATAAGTAAAAAATGGGGGACGTTTTCTCACAAGTTGTCGGCGAGGAACACAACGTCAACACATTATTAACCCAAGAAATTTGTAATTTAACTTACAACGAATTTTTGACTCTAATAGGAGAACTGAATATTTTGTGAGTAATCAATAATCAATCATTTCTTATGATGAAATACAATTCTTTAGAGCCAAAAAATGTCTGGACTCCAAAGGCTACTCACTGATGTTTGCTGTGAAAAAAGACACAGATTCTACAGTGTTTTGGAAAGCCACTGTTCAAATCGCTTGCGTTAAAATTGACTCAAATTCTCAAAAAGTCCTCACCTACAGGTTATTGTCTTTGAGTCAATTCCTGAAAGTTTTCAAAACTTTCAAATGTCAGATTGTCGCAGCAGAACAGAGTACTAGTGCCAGTACTTTAGGAGATTTAACAATCTCTACCATGTTACACGAGTCACTTAATTCTGCAGAAATTCCAAACGAATGTATAATTTGCTTTGAAAGAAAGCAAGATGTTACTTTGCCTTGTGCTCACAGCTACTGTACTCAATGTATAGAAGAATGGTAAGTTGTGTTTGCACTAGTTTGTAGTTTGCATTCCGTTCGATTTATTTTTATGCAGGAATGAATTCAACAACACTTGCCCAATCTGCAGAGAAAGACTGGAGAGTCCCAACGATACATGGGTGATTTCAGAAGTTCCCAATGCTGAGGAAATAAGTAATGAAATTAGGGAAAATCTTTTGGAACTTTCTGAAGAAAGGCATTCTATGTGTAATCCTTCTTAAAAAGGAGTATTTTATTAAGTTTTGTGATTAGATTTTTACACAAGTTTTGTGGTTAAAAAAAAAAATGTTTTTATGGAATGATTGTAATTTTTATGTGTTGGTTTTGTCCAAAATTACAATAAAATGTATTTAATGTAGGTTTAAAATATATTTTGTTTTCTTATAAGTTCTTGAAATGTTTCTTGTTCCATGTTCCGACATGCTACCTACGTCACAACTGGTGATTTGGCGTGGTGGGAGGCTTCAGATTTGTTCTACACAAGCCTTATGAGGATAGGCTATCCTGTTTAGTAGTCCTTCCTTGGTCTGGATTGCCATGAGCTCTGTTCCAATCGACATGAGAACCAGTAAATTCCAGTTGCCCATCGTTGAACAAATCCTTAGCTGGGTTCGGCTATTCAGCGCGGAGTTGGAGTGCAGTGAACAGAGGTAATGGAGTCACCCCTAATACGGTAAAAAGCAATAGCCGAAACTTAACCCGAACGGCTGGAGTGCGAATGGAGTCACTCGGAGTGAGCAAGCCGAACCCACCTCTTATTGATAAATTAATTTGATTGACTGGAAATTATCGTTCTAGAACGGTTCTCATGTCTGTTGGAACAGAGCTATTAGCAACCCAAACAACAAAATTATTTTAGGCTGTTCTCTATTTGCAGATCACATTTTGAACCAGTTTGGAACTTCAGTTCAGGTTTTTATGTTACCGCGAACGATTTCGGAAGAAAAAAATGCGTAAAAAAAAAGAATCTCTCGAACTAGTTCAAGCTAAGACGTATTCTAGCTGAACCGCGAACAAAGAACTGAAACAAAAAAATCCGAACCAGGTTCTAAATAGGAAACTGCGTCGAGGTTAGGAATGAGTTCGTCTTGAAACACCGAGCTCTCGGAGCATGTTGCATCTTTTTTTTTTAAGTTTGTTTATTTGTGTTGTTCGGAGCAACACTTCCTGCTCTAGGGCGTTCGTTGTGTTAGGTTATTTAGCTGCTTTCTTTTCAAGGGCTTGGGCGCCCCGGGGCGTCGAAGCCTGGGGTTTCGAAGCTCTGAAAAGAAAGCACCTATTATGGTTATATCTCCCATAATCTTAAATATTTATAGCTCAGTTGAAGTTAGTGCGGAACAAACAAACTAACCTTTCAGAAGAAACAAATGTGCGTCTACCTCAAACTTCACCAAAGGGCTGGAAATCACGATACCTAAGTATGCTTTCCAGTGACCATTTTGAGTTACTCCTGAGCAGCTCAGGAGTGCTTCATAATTACTTTGCGCGTTCCAGTGCTTAGAGTGTCGTGTACTTGAACTACTTATTTTTGTTATCCCCTTCCCCCTCGTGCAACTACCTTTATTTCGGTGTTTTATGCTCCTGAAGTCCGAAATGGTGGGGGTTAAGACGAGAGCGTTCCAGTGGTGCTTATATCGAACACTATAAAAGCGTCACACTCCAGGAGCATGATCTAACAATTTAGGCACTGGAAGCAGCTCTACTTTCATGACGTCAAGTTGCCTAGCAACCGTCATCATTGCCTGTTTCCTGTACTGTACGCGATAAATAGGTCGCAGGTGACGTCATGAAAGTAGAATTCTACTTGTCGTGATCCCAGCCCTCTGATAAAATTTGAGTAGACGATAGAATTCGTATGTGAAAAATAAGCGTGTACCGCATCTAACTTATAGCGTATTTCATTGGTAGAGTAAGTGCAACACTCGTTGCTAGAGCTACTCGCTCCGGTGTTAGTTGCCCCGATTTGAAAGCAGCGGATGCGCTGACTTTCGTGCATTTAAATGGTGTTCTTCGGGCTTGAGTACTCAGGTGCAATAAACACTTTTCGAAAGAAATAAGAGCGTAACGCCCCGGAGCTGTTCCGGAGCTCCCCAAAGTTGGGAATATGGAATTTCAATTAAAAAAAAAGATATTTGTGCTTATTATAAAAATAACTATTATAATTTAATTTAAAAAAAAAGTTCTTTCTTCTCTGCTAGAAGCTCTAAATATTCCAAGGATGATACACACTACTACTACAGAATGGCCTATCCTCATAAAGCCTCATTCTCACTCGCGCGAAATTCGCTTTTTTTGATACAGCTTCGACAATTTGACGTTTGATACCTGCATAAAACGTCAACTTGTCGAAGCAATGTCAAAAAAGAGCGAATTTCGGGCAAAAAAAGCGAATTTCGCGCAAGTGAGAATGAGGTATATGCCTAAAGCCTGTGTGTAACAATTCCCCCCTTCCACAACGACACAGAATATATAAGTTCTTTTCACGTGGCTCCGGTTTAACTAATGGTCGTTTCCACCAACTATTTTAGGGAAGCCTTAATGATAAGTATTCCTTAAGCTGACAGTTTTCCATGGAGAAATGTCAGTTTAGGAAATACATATCGTTGAGGCTTCCCTAAAATAGTTGGTGGAAACGGCCATAACCGGGTTACAAAACGGTTAGAGAAATGACATACCGTTTTTTAACCCGGTTACAAATTGACGTGATGGATACCTACCACTCGAATTTGAGCGGTATGTTGCGGTTTGTTAAACCGGAGCCACGTGAAAAGGGTTATAAGTTTAATAAACCGCAACATACCGCTCAAATTCGAGTGTGGTAGGTATCCACGCGTCACTTTGTAACCGGGTTAGAAAACGGTATGTCATATTTTACATACCGCTACTAACCGTTTTGTAACGGTTAGTTTAAGGGTGGATTTTCATGCATCCGTTTGTCCGACGAAAGATGTCCGAAAAACATTCTATTCTGACATAATCGTATAAAAATATGTCAAAATAGAAGATTTTTCGGACATATTTCGTCGGACAAACGAATGCATGAAAATCCACCCTAAACTGTAACCACGTAAAAAGGACTCTTGCGTTCCGTATTTTGTTCAAAGAGCAGAGCGTGCTGAGCGGAGCCGTAATAACGTGACCAGCGAGCAAACAGAGCAGTTGAGCGTTGTATTCGAGTGCCCGAAATTCATAAAGAACATGAATGAGCTTGCACCGAGTACACTTAACACAATAAACGAACGGTAAATTCAAACTCGGAGAACTCAGATCAAATTACCGGACGCACGGTGAGAAATACAGTGCAGCGCGGACTCTACTCTGCCAATGGATCACGTAAAGTCTGCGGCCGGATTATAAACATCCGATACGGAAAATTTCCGAGTCGAAGCGTATACGCATCGTATTGAACGGAAAAGCGATTACGAACACACGGATCGGCTTTAATCAGCTGTCCGCGATCAAAATGGTAGAATGCGAAACCTCTTGCTGGACTCTGGAGGTGACGTCAGCTGCAGTCCTTTATTGCTGCGTTTGCTATGTAAATGCATCATTCATCATTATCATGGAATTGATGGGAAACTTGCAGTGTTTTTGTGGATTATGATTATGAATATCTAAACATTGCAACCATATTTCGCTTTATATTTTGAAATTTAGAAATGCAAAAATTAAATCGTTATAACAACACTTGTGTTTTTTGACAAACAGAGAATCATATTAATTATGAAACATTTGGCCAAGGGTTATTTTTATAGGTTTATTGGGAAAAAGTCCATATTGTAACGCTATTTCATTTCATGGTTTGTGTGTATATGTGTATGTTATATGTTACTGTAATCTGAAGTAAAGTTAAAAATAAATAAATAAATTAACACTGGACACAACGATTTTCAAAGTCAATTGAAATGCTCTGTTTTAAATAGAAACAATCCGGTTGAGGACTGCGACTGACGGCACGTGACGTCAGTCGCAGTACTCGATTATCGTTATTTTGGCGAACGTAATGTCTTATGGTCATGGGCCTGACTCGTCTATCTAGCGATGGATGCTCGCATGTATGTACGAATAATATTTTAACAAAAATCATAGATAAAAACACAAGACAAACAAGAAGCCTTTTCACGTGGCTCCGGTTTAACAAACCGCAACATACCGCTCAAATTCGAGTGGTAGGTATCCATCACGTCATTTTGTAACCGGGTTAGAAAGCGGTATGTCATTTCTGTAACCCGGTTACTTAAAGCGGAGCCACGTGAAAAGAACTATAGATTATTTACCCGTTTCACGTGGCTCCAGTTTAACAAACCGCAACATACCCAATGAATATACCGCTCAAATTCGAGTGGTAGGTATCCATCACGTCAATTTGTAACCGGGTATGTCATTTCTCTTTCTCTAACCATTTTGTAACCCGGTTAGTTCAACTGGAGCCACGTGAAAAGAACTATTGATTTGATTTGTTTGTGTTATTGTTTATTTATTTATGTTATAAATTATATGTATCAACCAAGTTTATTATAATTTAATATGAATTTTAAATTAAATTTAGTATTATTCATTTTCGTATTAACTCCATTAAGCGACGCGAATCAGTTACTCAAGAAGTCAGAAATTGCGGAGCAGCTTTGTATCCTTTTTTTTTTTGTTGTATGGCATCTGCAAGGTAAAATATCAATTAATTGTGAAGTAATTGCTTAACTAATATCACAGATAAAAAATTATTGAAGAGACAACGTGCAGAGCAGTTAGCAGCAATTAAAAGTTTTCAAAAACTCAGAAATTACGAGAAAAAATATCAAATGATTACTCTCATGGCAGAAAAGGTATTTACCATAATGCAAGACAGCAGAGCCAAAATTGAAGCTTCCCACTTTATACCAGGCGTCTCAGAATTTCCCACAGACGATAACATAAGAGACGCCTTATCAAACATAATAGAAAACTCTGCCTTATTTGCTGAAATTATTTTGAGGCTGCCAGAAATATCAGTTTCTGTATTAAAGACAAACAACAATTGGGACATTTTGCTTCAATGGGGCATCGCTTACTGTTATCAAGTGAAATATTTATTGGATAATAGTACCATCAAAATTCTATCCTTGGCTAGTCAAGAGTTGAATTATGTTCCTAGAGATTTGAATTATGCGAATCCATATAGAAAAAATAAACAAGAAAGTGATGGAAACGAAGAGGAGCCAAATCAACTACAGTCAAAGAATGTTAAAAAAAAGAAAAAAAAGTTGCAAAAAGGACCTAGACTACATGATGAGTTTTGATTTTGTTGGGATGTTACCCAGCAATTCCTTTCCTACAGCCAAAGGTTGGCATTATAATTTGACGACTTTGTCATACTCATACAAGCTGTGCTCATACTATCAAGAATCAAGACCTAACACTACTGTTAAGAACCTTCAGTAGGTAGAAATGTTTTAAAATGTATTTTTTGAATTTTTTTCTTGAATACATCAAGGATAATGTCTTGTCGGATGTGCCGCCCTCTATCAACAGCTTATTGTAACTTCCTATGTGCCTATGTACAGAAACCTGTTTTTTTTTTCAAGTGCAACGCTGGCGTGATATTTGCAATCCATTGTCAGAATCCGCGCTGAACTTTTGTGGACGCGAGAAAACGCATATGTTTTGGATTGTTTCTGTTAATATTTACAAAAAGAAACAACCAAATGAATAAATGCGCGGTGCGGGGATGTGGAACTATGCGATGATTGTAGATCTTAATTTTCAAAATTGTCAATAGATGGCATTACCAGTTGAGAATTCATAAGGGTAAGCGCGCACTAGCAATTTGTTGTCGTGCGATTTTGTCGCAGTCGCGTCGCCGTTCTATTATTTATTCGCAGTGATTATTTTGTCGCAGAATACATTCATGTTCATTACAATATTAATGTTCCATTTTAGCGACTAAACACTGGCGCGACAATAAATAGCTATTGCGCGCTTGGCCTAAGGCCTGTGCGGCCCGTGTGTTATAAATCCCCCCTTAATTCCCTCCCATGCCAAAATACCAGAGTGCGTTTAGAAATGAAGTGTGAAGGTAGAGTAGTTGTTTGCCAGAGTGTTCTGACGTCATTACTTGGAGTGCACTCTAGGTGTGCCTTTTCTGAACGTAAATGGGGGTGTTGCGCTAAATGTCAACGTCAGACCCGGTAAAAACCACGGGGCGTTTTTCAACCTAGTCCCTGAGCGGGGTAATTTGAATTTGGGCGCACTCTGGGCACGTTAACCTCGATTTCTGACCGATTCCCCAGCGTAACGCTTCGAGTAAACACCTGTTAATTTATGAACGGTTTAGAGCTACTCTAGGGTCACTGTCACACCCAGAGTGCTATGTCTAAACGCAACCCAGTTGTGACGTAGGCAGCATGTTATTTCTCGCCTTAACGTAGGCTGTTTAAACAGCTGAAGATTTGAATGAGTTCGGAAATGGTATCACACCAATATGGTAGCGATCTTAGAGCAGGTAAAGGTAAAGAGGAGTAGTAACCTGGATTTGGAAAATGAAGCCGTTTTTTTACAGGTATTGGCACCAAGAAAATGGCGCTTATGGCAATTCAATGCTTTACCTGTATCTTGGTGCCAAACATTTGCCAAAAATTTGGCTTCACTTTAGTTTCATAAGCAGAATGGCGCGTTCCTACTCCTTATGTCCGTAGGACAGCGCTTTCCTGCTCTAAGGTAGCGATTATCAAAAACGAGGCCGATAAGCACTCCTTAGAGTGTGTATTCTCCTTGGTTTCTACCAACTAATTAAGGGCCAAATTTATAGGCGATCCTTGAGGTTTCCTCAGACCTTAAGGAAGCCTTGAACGTTTAGAATTGACATGACTAGCTTGTCAAATAGTAGCAATTGTCCATTCTAAACTCGCGACTCCAAGAAAGATTCAACGAATGACTATAAATTCGGCCCTTAGGCCTTAAGGGAGCCTTAACGTTAAGTAGGTACGTAGTTACCCATTCCCTAAACTGACATTTCTCCATTAAATGTCATTTTAAGGCATAGCAAATTGAGACAAAAAATCACGTGACGGAAAACGCCGTCTCATTGGCTAAAGTCTAATGCTTCATTCTCACTTGCGCGAAATTCGCTCTTTTTGCGCGAAATTCTCTCTTTTTTTTGACATTGCTTCAACAATTTGACTTTTTATGCGGCGTGTATCAAATGTCAATTTGTTGAAGCAATGTCAAAAAAGAGCGAATTTCGCGCAAGTGAGAACTAAGCTTTAAGCCGATATCCATGATTTTGTTGTCACATTTAAGAATACGAATAAATTTTGAAGTTTAAATGAGCTCAACGATTATACCTATGCGAAATTCGGTATCCTCGCATTTTCCAGGAAGTGACGTCACTTTCCGAGTCCGCGATTTCACAGCAGTTTGAAAATTCGATTGTTAAAGCGTTTTTATTATTTATCTATTAACCTTACTCTTCCTGAATTTAATGATTTTTTGTGGAAAAGTAGATACCTATACTATATTATATTTTCTATCGTTTAATTCGCTTATCGCAAATCTGTAATCACTGGCGCCGACTACATGGGGGCATTGGGGCAGGAGCACCCATGAGCAACATCTCATAGGTGCGGAGCACCCATGGTAGCTTTCGTGGGGACTGCGGAAGTACAAACGTGCTTAATGGTCATTCCGTTCAGTATCATGTAATTTAAATTTACACAACTTTGTATAAGAATTATACAAGTAGTATTAGTACTCTGTCCTTTAGTTATTTGTGGTCAGTTCTTCCCAATCAGCACATGTATGTCCGTGCGACTACGTATTAACCAAATACAACGTCGCCAGAAGTGCTGATAAGTGACCGCCAATGATTTTTCGTTGAAATTACGTCGTGCCGTGCCGTCGTCCCTGATATGTGGTCAGGAAATCGGACCTTTATCTAACTAGCTCAATTTTAACGTAATAAATGAAAACCAGTTTTAACGTTAAATAGGTGACGTCAAACCGTCGTCCTCTTGCATACTTGTGACCTCTGAAACGTTTTTTAAACGTCGTTCAACACGACTAATAATAAAGGTAAGATAAAAAACGTAAATTGGACGTCATAATATTGTACCAAATTCAACGTTGCGTTGAAGGCGTCAATCCGTCGTTATCTCTATGTCCTGTAACTTATGAAACGTTTTAAAAATGTCATCTGACACGGCCGATCATAAAGTCAGATAGAAATTCTTAGAAAACGTCCGGCCAACGTTGAAATTGAACACAGGTAAAATTTGGTGTAGTATTTCATACCTCTTGCGTCGTTCGTTAATAAACTGTCATCAGTCAAATGAAAACATTGTTACCCGCAAAAACGCGACTGAAAAGTAAATAATAAAATTTGAGGAAGTGAGACAGTGAATGGGTAACTCAAACAAAAAAATAAAAAATAGAAAGAGAGGGTTGGTCGGTGGCGAAAATCTAGAAACGGTACTTCGTGTGAAGGGTTGCCGACTAGCTTCCAATGCGGAGAGGGGTGTGGATCAATTAGATAATTAAATATAGAGCGCCACCTGCTTTTCCCTGCAGTACACGAACTCAACCGATATAACGAAAGCAGGAAACTTCTACGGACCTATAGCAACACAACCTGGAATATAAAAAATATAAAAGTAAACAAGAAGGAAGGGCAGAAGTGAAACGATTTGCTACAATCAGGTACGGGTTTTTAATTAGAACCAGAACAGGTTTGACTCTAGAGTAGGTTCGGAGTGGGTTTTCCGAACGCCCTGGAACACTGAAAATTATTAGCACTGGAACCAGAACAAGAACAAAATAAATTGACTACAGTTTTTTTTTTTTTTTTAAGATAATTCCCCGAGTCAAAAATTTGGTGTTGGCAACACAAGCCTTTTCTACATAAAAAATTTGAAAGCATTGACAATTTTACATTGTATTGCCAACATAATGTCATTTTGACTTTTACCTTTGAAAAAAAAAACAGACTTTAGTAGTTCATTGGTTATTGGTTGACAGTGACAGTCTGACAGTTGACAGAGGTGGCTAAAGTAAAACAAAACGTCAGTTAGGGCATGTGTGTAACAATTGAATGAGGAAATTTTTCTAACGACCGTACGGAAAAATACTTTTCCGTGCGCATTTTAGAACATGAAAGTACCAGGATGACTTAACATTGCATAATTATTTTACTTTTCCGCACTAGTTAGGAAAATGAATATTTTCATGGCTAAAAATTCGTGCAGAAAAAAGTACTTTTCGCGCGTTCGGCGTGCTTCCCCCTCCCTCTACAAACAAATATATAAAGTTATCCTTCAAAAGTCGGCGCCTCTGTCTGTAATCCGATTTTGTCGCTCGCAACATTCTAATAGGTAGAAGTCTATTTTTGTTCAAAATCGAAATTTCAAACCCTCATACGTACCTATAACTCAAAAACGACAAGTCGAATAAGAGGCAAAAATTAAAGATTTCCACACGATCGAGTTCACAAAGAATTATCTATATATTTAACACACAGTTGTGTTGGTTCTAACACTTATAACTCGAGAACGGCTGGACTGATTTTTTTGATTTTTGCTTTATTGGATTTGTATTTGTCCCTAATAACATAATAAATCGAAAAAATCCCAAAAAAAAAAACAAAGAACAAAATTACTTATTTTACTTATTTATGAAAAAAATTCACTAAGCCCGCATACGGCGCCATCTCTTATAACCGATACCGAGTTTACCGCCACATTTTCATTGCAAACCATTTTATATACGACGCCATCTCTGATACCTAGAACGAAGCTTGCCGTTGCGCGGTAATTTCATTGCAGATACAGTAGAACAATGCTGCTCAGGAACTGGAGCTATTCCGAACAGAACTATTCCACTATTCCGATCAGATAGAGTGGTGCAAAAAGAGTAGATCAGATAGAATAGTGCAGGTAGAGTAGAACAGATGGAGTAGTGCAGTGCATGCAGTGCAGATAGAGTGAGACAGGGCTGCGCTGGAGATTTTTTTTTACATTCTTTGAACATTCCTGTGCCTGAGTTTATTTATTTGGTGGTACACTTTACAAGAATAATGTCCACAAGCTGCCTAAAAAGGGATGATGTAAAATTTTAATTTTAGGTGACTTCTGATCCAGAGAGTAAACCATAGCCGCTCTCGGGTGCAGAGTGAATAGAACACTTCACACCTGTCATACTCCATCCGTTTTGCACTCGAACGCTTGATACCAAACGGGTCAAACTGCTGGAGTACTTCGGAGTAACTCGGGAGCACTCAAAGGGTGGTACCCGAAAACAGCTATTAGTTTTCTTCAACCAAAGCCAAATTCACCATCGAAAAACACTGAATTTAATTCAGCTAATAGATATGTTAACAAAATATTTATTAGGTATTTAATAATTCAGAGGCGAGGCGGTACGAAGTTCGCCGGGTCAGCTAGTTAATATCTAAAAGTTAATGATGTATTACCCTATTATTGACGGTTTTTTAACAAATACATATTTATATAATTGGGATCCCTTATGTTAATCATGTATTTGATATTTTACTGCTATCTATCCAGTCTATCTATAAATTTTAATATGGCCTGGCAAAAATAAGACAAAAGAACAAACAGGCAGGAAAGCTCTATATACCAAAGGGGGAAGTTTCCAAGTTTCCCCCGATATAAAATGATATAATGCATCATAAACTCAGAGTGTAAAGTCTTGTTCCGGCGAACGTCCAACCGGAAACCGGATATTCGAGCTGACGGTCGAATAAAGAGCGTCGCGGCGCTTGGTCTAGCTTCTTTCTGGTAGCGCCTAATTGACATGAACACGCGAATATCGAAAGTGTAACACAAAAAATCTGACTTTTTTCTAAAATCATATATGCCGTGCCTCAAAATTAGCTTCTAGCACGTGTCAAAAACAACAAAGCACGTGCCTTAATTGATTCTGATACAAAATCGGGAGTCAATTAGTATGTTGAAAGAACAGGAAATTGGCCTAAAAGGGTTGGATTCATGAAAACAGATAATTCTCATTTATAATAAGTAATAATTTTGTTGCTGCAATCATATTAAATCATCCCCACTGATAATCTAATGCAGTTTCCCCTCATAAAACCAGACCCAACTTCATCCGGAAACCCGGAAATATGAGGCTCCGGTCTCGAGTCTCATCCGGAACGAAAACTTTCTGAATATTTCAGTATTATTTACGCGCATGCAACTAGAACGTTCCGGCGACTTTTATTCGCTTCTGGAATTTTGCTGGATCCAAATAATTATTTGAAACAAAAATTTATCTTCTACTGCTAATACGCATCTATTGATTCTAAATTTAAAAAGCCAGGGCTTGTGGCTTTGCCAAAAATTGGAATTCAAGTAGTAAATAAATACCTATACTAGCGTAGATATGTTTAAAGATGTTACCTATAGATGAACGTACATATTTTCAAAAATTTCAAATCAAACAAAGTATATCTACATCGAGAGTTCGTTATTGTTTTGAAAGCTATTCAGCAATACAATTCTTTGCCGTTCTAGAACTTATTGGAAAAAATCTATATTTCAATTTCTTTTTTGGAAAATTTCCAATTCCAATTCATTGATGATTGCATTCCTACTTTTAGAAATAAATGCGAGGTGTTTTATTTTGTTTTTGGGAACCGCCAACTTTTAACATTGAGAAAAAGGAAAAATCAGACCGCGCGTGGTGTCGTAACACATGGACAATAATAAAATTTTCTGTTTGAATGTTATATGACCTTCACGCGAGATGAAGCTATTTTCGTATCTACTAACAACATACGACGAGAAGCTAAAATTCGTTTTCGTCGGATTAGAACTAATAAAAATAATTTTCCATGTTATAAGGAAAATTTACGATCAATTTTACTTATCCCAATACAGGCAATCTATTACAACAAAACTCGCATCCACAGTTTGGATTTCTTCATAAACGAGTAAAGTTTTCAAACTTTCAGCTTGAAGTATGTATAAGGAAATGGGTCGTTTTTAACTTTACTAGCTTTGCTTGGCCGGAAACGATATAATTTATGATCCTGTTTTCCTTTTTATGTACCCTTTAATGAAAATTGACTCGGAGATTTATGTTTTATTTCGACTAGGTACACATAATGAAATTTTATTCGAATTGTTTTGGGAGGTGATAAATTGGAGGCAACGGTTTCGGTTTAAATATGTCGGGACCATATATTTCCAACTGAAATTCTTCATAATTGGTTAAATATCCATATACGTGATTACTGGTGTCAGCACCTTTCAGTACTTTTCTGGAGTCTTCTTTCTTGTCTTCGAGAATTTGCGTTAAGAATTTCGATTGTTTGCTTTTCTCTTTCAATTTACTCTCGAGTGAACTGAAAATTAAATTTTTGTTGCTGTTTTATTGATTTCATTGAAAAGGTACCGATATTGTTCCATAATCCAACCCCAGTTGCTCTGCCAGATAATATGAGAGTCGTCTTCGGCTCGAATAAAACATTTCCACATTTCGTCCGCCTTATTCATATCGTCTATTTTCTTTTCTGTTTTGGGAAGTGCCATTTTTTGAATTGTTGAACAACAAATTGAGCGTAGAAAGTTCAAATTTGACAATAATTTATTATTGCGTCAAGTCTCAATGTCAAAATTTGAACTGATTTCAGGATAAAGAAGAGAAGGAACAATCAAGACCAGCAAAGTCTACACCTTTTCCATAAGTATTTCAGAATGTGGAATTTATCACTTCTATTTCAGATTCATCAATTCTAGTTCAGAATGCGTCAATTGTATTCCAGTTGTATGAGTTTAAATTCAGAAAGTGTTACTTGTAGGTATTTCAACTTTGTCAGTTATTCTATTTCAGAAAACGTCATTTGCGTTTCAGATTATTTATTTATAAATCAGAAATTGTCAATTGTATTTCAGAATTCATCAAATGTATTTCAGATGTGATCTATTTAGTATTTAGTGTATTGAATTAAATTTATAATGGGTCACGATGATTTCTGAACTACATCTGACAAATTCTAAAATAAAATTCACGTTTTCTGAAATACAATCAACTAATCTGAAATACAATTGACGCTTTCTAAAATAAAACTTACGATATCTGAAAAACATATGGAAAAGGTGTAAAAGATTTTCAAAGAGTCCCAATATAAAATTATTACCAAAGACAAAAGATTTGCGTTCAAACTCAAACCATTAGGAGAAAAACCGATACGAAAACATTAACAATTAAGATTATTATCAAACACACACAATAGAATTTAATATTGATAGATATCAATTTTTTCATGTATTGACAATTGGCATTGTTGTGACTTGCGTATCTTCCAAAATCAAAATATACATCCAGGCTGACCCAAATAAACTTTGAGTTGGCATTGGCCAATACTTTTAAGCGCGATGTCCCACTTTTGCGAAAATCCAGGACACTCGTTTTCGAAATACGATCTGAAATTAACTTTATTGTTTTTGAAGAAGCTCCAGTAAAAAGTCAAGAGTTTTTCAATTAAATATTTAATAATTATTTGAGATTCCCCCTAATGCAAATTTTGTGGGTGCGCCAAAAGGTTAAAGCCACATTACCTACCTACTGCTATATACGGCACCTATTTCCAAATATTTGCCTCAATTACCATCACCATATGCACCCTCTCTCTGGGAAAAACACACAAATTGACATTTCACCACCTTTTTAATCAAACACAGTGTTGATCCAGAGCGCAAATTGAGTGAGAAAAATCATCCCTTACAGCCTAATGTACAAGTGGAGGGTGTTTTTTTTTTTAATTGTATCCAAACTCGCACCCCCGCAACCGAATATGTTCGACGCACGTTCGGTGACACGTGACCGAACTGGTAAGTCACGTGTCGGTGATGTTCATTTGTTTGGAAATGGTTAATGTCTTTTCGGGATGAAAAGGTAAATGAAAATTTTTATAGGTTTAACTCTAATACGATATTGGTAGGAGGCTTTGGTTTAAATAGGACAGGAGTTTTCTGAAAAACTCTATTTTATCAAATCTTTTCAATTAGTTAATATCACAAACTTGAAAATAAACTTGTTTGATTACACTACACTCAGAAAATTGAATAATTACCCCAATTGCTTAACAGGATTTTATTTCTGGAACTATACGTCCAAATGAGCTGAAGTTTTCAGGGATTGTAATCCTCTACTAGAATAAAGAATCGCTGAAAATTTCAGCTTTCTATCTTTAAGAGCAAAAAAGTTATGATCTTCCAAAGTTTTCCAAAATCTAAATCACTGAAACGATGAAATTTCACTTTTTTGTTGTTGAGATTTTGTGTCCTTATGGTCCTTTGAGATCCCAGAAACTCCATAGGTACACTAAATTATTCTGAGATTTGGAGCCAGATTTTATGAAAAAAGGCACTCAGAAAACAGGGGCGGATACAGCTCTTTTGAAAGGGGGAAGGGCAGTTTAAGTTAAAGTAAGCCAGATTGGGTTAGTTTTAGCAACGCATTGTGCAAGATACGGTTTCTCGAAGAAATGGCCCATAAAAATATGGGAATGGGAGGAACTATTAAGGAGAATAAGGTGATTTTAAATAAGTAGGTATTGGGTGTTTTTTTATATATTGACATCCCACCTACAGCCTTCACCTTTACAGGTAAAAAAAGGTATAAACGCAAAAGTTGTACAGTTTTGACTGAATTTTTAGAAACCATGATCAGAAACAAAATTTGAATGTCAGAAATGTGAAATTTTGCATGCTTCCAGCTTTTTTCATGAAGATCACAATGCCCCGATTCCAAAAATATATAGTTTGTCTATATTTGATTGAGCAGTCTCTCATATATTTGGTTCCAAAAATTGTAAAAGTACTATCCTACTACTGATTTTGTGAACCATTCTACCTGTATAGGTAGACAAACTATAACATAGTAACATAATGTGACAAGTTATTCAAGTACAAACGAGTGAATTGTTACGGAATTTATGGGTGGACCAGTTATCTACTTATTATTACGTTGTTCAAGTACGATACTAACCTGACTCATTCAAATGTCAGTTATTCTCATTCTCATTAGTTCAAAAACTACAAGTTTCGGGTGAGTGTCTTATTTGGATAGTTCGTCAGTATATTGGTGAGTAGATGGCTGCGGAACTCGCTGCGCTCGTCCCACAGAGGTCCACAAATAAGTTCCGCAATAATCCACTTATTTGTACTTGAACAATAACTTATTATATAAAGTCAAATTTTGTAAGATTATGATTATTCACTTTTTGTCAATTTGCCTTTCAACAGGAATTAGAATGTTACTTTACCAAACTAGTAACATATTGTGACAACTTATTCAAGTGAGTGAATTGTTGCGGAACTTATGGGTGGACCTCTGCGGAACGAGCGCAGCGAGTTCCGCAGCCATCTATTCATCAATATGTTGTTTAATTACGATACTAAACTGACTCACTCAAATGTGCGTTATTCTCATCCCAGTGAGCATTTTATTCCCAAAACGAAAATAGAGAGATATTGGAACAAATACTGCCTCGCAGTATTAAAGATCTACACGTTATTTTATTAGTGCATTAGCACTATTTTTCCAAGAAAAAAACAGTTATTGGAAGACTGTAGTAGGTGCTAGAGTATTATCTTATTTTGTATTCATAATTTTGACAGCTAATAGCTATGTTTATAAATTTCAGCCTCAAAAAGTGTTTATTTTTGTTTGTGATTTTCTGCTGATATCCATTTTTTGATGTTACCCACAGTAAAATGGAAAACTATTGTGAAAAATAAATTTACGTCATCGTCGAAAAGCGAAACGTCAAAGTCGTCTAAAACGTCAGAAAATTTGAAATAAGGGAAGTTTGCTGCCTCGCACTAACCATACACAAATAAAGAGAAGCAGTACCTAACCTTATTAAAAGAATCCTTATTTTCGGACCCAAATGCGCATGCGTAGATGTCAAAATAAGGCTAATTTAAATACTGCTTGTCCTTATTGCACGTCCAATAACTCTTTAATAGAGAGTTATTGGACGTGCAATAAGAACAAGCAGTATTTAAATTAGCCTTATTTTGACATCTACGCATGCGCATTTGGGTCCGAAAATAAGGATTCCCTTAATAAGGTTACTGCTTGTGTTTATTTGTGTATGGTTAGTGCAAGGCAGTAAACTTCCCTTATTTCAAATTTCTGACATTTTGAACGACTTTGACGTTTCGCTTTTCGACGATGACGTAATTTTACTTAGAAAATTTATTTTTTACAATAGTTTTCTATTTTACTGTGGATAACAACAAAAAATGGGTATCAGCAGAAAATCACAAACAAAAATAAATACTTTTTGAGGCTGAATTTATAAACATAGCTATCAGCTGTCAAAATTATGTATACAAAATAAGGTAATACTCTAGCACCTACTACAGTCTTCCAATAACTGTTTTTTTCTTGGAAATATAGTGCTGATGCACTAATAAAATAATGTAAATCCTTAATACTGCGAAGCAGTATTTAATAGTTCCAATAACTCTCTATTGTGTTGTTGGCGACGTCGCTGTTACGTTAAAATTACTTTATTTTGCGTCAATAGTACACAAAATCTCGAGTGACGTCACAGCTTGTTTACAGTTTGGCACTAAAAAGAAATTGTGCGTAATTGTACACGGTATAGGAATTGTTACCACACCCTGGGCATTGTGACATAAAGGAAATTGTTGAATAACATAAAATAGGAATTGAGTCAAAACTATGTGGGGATTATGTCTGTGTCGATCAAAGACACAAATACCTATTTGTGAAACGTGTGCTGTAACACATTGTAGGAACTTTGTTTTTAAAAAAAACATACCTAGTGAACTTTTTTTCGACACAAAGTAGAAATTTTTCCTAAGATTTATCCAAAAAGGCACATGTAGGATCCGTGTAGCTTTATTACGGATTATTTACCACATTCTTCCCTTATTTACACAAGATCATTATGTTGTAACGCATAGTGGAAATTGTCAGGTCGGGTGTGACTTTATTTTCGATGCTATATTATTTTGGAACCTATAAGGGTGAAAAACTCATCATAAATAATTAATAAATACATAATAGATATCTAGCTATTCAGGAACTATATCGAAGAGCCGAATTTATAGGTATAGTTGCTCCTTGAGGTTTTCTCAGACCTCAAGAAACGACTATAAATAAATTCAGCTCTAAGGTAAGTACCCTAAATGTTCAGCTTAACCTGAAATTTTCAGGAATTGGTTCAATGAAATTTTTTTAACGCGGTTTTTCACATTTTTATAGAGTATTACTCACATACCTATAGCACATAAAAAAAATTTCAGCTCAATTGGATAAATATTAAAAAAGTGACGCGTTTTTTAATTTTAAAACAGTTATGCCTCGGAAATTCATTGCTGTGACGTGATAGCATCTTTCGGATCGAGACAGGCTAAAGGCCGTCATACATGGTTTTGCATAAGGTCGTATTTATGTTGGAGCTGTGATACATGATAAAAGCAACGATACTAATGTAAAGTATCATTAGTATCGTTGCTTTTATCGTTTATCACAGCTCCAACATAAACACGGCCTAACGCAATGTCAACTGATTTTCTATTGACAGTTTGGCACACAGTTTGCGGAACTATACAATATTTTTTTTCCTACAACCACATACGAAAATGACAAAATCCGCACTAGCTGGTTCTTTGGAATGCGTGAAATATCACACATGTGCTGAAAGTACTTTGAATACGCTTGCTAAAAGTACTTTCAGTACACATGTGGAAAATACTGTTGACATTATTTGTGATTGACATCACAATGTAGGTACTTCCAATATATGGATTGAAAGTACTTTCAGCACGTGTGTTGAAAATGGAAAGAAATAAAATAAGAGAAAATTGGTGTAAATCGGATTCTGGTTGTAGGAAAAATGGTGTACATCACTGGTAAGAAAGCGTCTTTCATAAACTCGTGTGATTTTCGCACTCGGCTACCGCCTCGTGCAAAAAAACACTCGTGTGAAATTTGTCACTTTCTACACTCGTAATGTAATATACTATTTTTTTTAACATCAAACCCCTACCATAAAATGCCAAACTGAAACTTGTCTAAACGATGCCAAACCAAAATTTGTCAAAACAAAGCCCGTATTGTCGAAGTGACTGTACCACGACGATCGACGTAAGAGATGCAGTGACGTCACCGCGTGTTTCAAATCTTGAGTACTTTGATAATTTATTTAAATATGAACAAGGGCTCAGAAAATTATGAAATTTTGCATAACTGCTAAACTCAACAATTTTTTTAGAATATGTAATAAAAAAAAATATGCTGTACGACTGTACGAGCCTATTCTTCGCATTTTTTTCATTGAAACGCTTGCCCTACAATGTTTGACATTAGAACATGAACCTCTACCATCTACCGCCTCTGCTGATATTTTTTCACAAATAGGGTTGGCACCTTCGACCATTGTTGACACGTTAGGACTAGGGATGCCACCTTGGAAAGTAACTTGAACCGGAGAAAAAAATCCCTTATTGAAAAAAATAAATAAAAATCCTACAAATCTGATAACAGATGCATTAGGTATACTCTATCTCTATACACGTCTCCCCTGCTATCACCGAATGATGCTTCAGGGTTGGGAGTTGAGACGGTTGGAGAGGTAGATCCTGGTAGATCCAAGGACTATTACACACTACACAGTATAGGACAACCATAGGTCATAGGATAGCCTATCTGCATATGGCCTCTGTAGATCAAATCTCAAGCCCCCACCACGCCAAAGCACCAGTGATGACGTAGACAGCGTGTCGTTTCTCGCCTTTGACGTAGGGTATTTGCACTACAGGCATGATTCCGCTGACTTTTACTTTATGTATACTTGGTTTTAGTACATTTATGGCGACGAGATCAATCGTTAGTCAAGTCCTTGTTAGCAAACAACAACCTCGGATTGTGCCACACAAAAACAATCTCATATTGAAATTGACACAATCTGAGGTTTTTGTTAACTAACAACCGCACCGTTGATGACGTCGGCAACGGTGCAACACTATATGACCTTGATTCCAAAAATCGAGGCCGATGAGCAATCCTATAGTAGTGTGTAATATCCTTGAGGGAGAGCAGGAACAGTATTGCGCTGAATCTTATTTTCTTTTTTCCTGGACATAAGAATTATTTTTACGTTTTTTTTGTTAATAATGCGGTTTTTTGTTAAATGCGGTTTTACCCGGAGAAAAGACCTAGTAATCCGGAGCCCGGAGACAATATCTGAAAGCCCGAGGTGGCAACCCTAGTTAGGACGTGTCAGGGCGAGTCACCAAATAGAAACATTTTCGGAACTGTTATGTGTTGTCTTGTCAATAATGTCAATTGTTTCTGAGATTAATACTAAACACACAAATGCGTAGTAGTGTAACAAAATTTCGTATTTGTGTCATTATTTGAAAAAAGTAGGAATTGTGTGACACCAGAAGGTTGGCGTGTAACACAAGACCCAAGTTGTGACTATTAACGCATATAAGGCAATAATAGGTAACTTTGTGTATAGCTGCCATATTTTTCTTCATTTTCTCTTTGGTTAAATATGTAAGCAGCACTAAAATGCCCATTGTTGCCAAAATTAGGCAATAATTTAATTAAAACTGACTGCATCAACAAAAAATATGACTTAATAAATAAATTTTTCTCCGAATGACAGTAAAAGCGGCCTTTTAATGACACTTGACAGGATCAAAAGTAGTATTTTTACTGCCTAGGCAGTAAAAGTGGACTTTTACTGCCGAGGCATTAAAAGTGACAGTGTCACAACGTTCCAGGTAATAATTTCACTCAATTTGGTATTTGAAATTGATGGTGACAATGACAATTGTCAAAATAATTTAATTATTTGGATGATAATAACGAATGAAATAAATATAAAAAACATATCCATGTGTGAATTTGAACAAGAGGAGAAAAAATTATATGTTTTACATGGCAGAAAAGCAGATTTAATGCCTTGGCTGGTTTCCTCAGCCTCGGCATTAAATCTTGTACTTTTCTGCCTAGTGAAACAAATAACTATTATTGACCAAAATTATTATTATACATTTCTTATTTGAACGCCACTGTGTCCTACAATAGTGTATGGAAAAACTACATAGAAAAGCTATCGTCGCAAAGAAAATCGACTTTGGTTAGCTTGAGAAAAGTCAATAATAATGGATTATATTTATTATTTATCGCAATGACAATTCTGACATGTTAGTTTTTATGAGAGAATCGATGGACGCTTATAGGCGCCGGCTTTCTGAAATCTGTATGGGTGCTAAGCCAAAGACGGCATAAAATAGCTAAAGATTCATTTTTGGTGGAACTTCCAAATAGAATATATTATTTTCTAACTAGTGCGGTAAGTGTCACTTTTCCGCTCGCGATTGCAGCAAGCAATCGAGTGAGGAAAAGAGACTTTCCGCACGAGTTAGGAATAGTATTTTTTCTATGAGATGAAAGTTAACACGTTCACGACCACGCGTCATACATATGTGACAAGCAGTTTTTTCCAGGAACTGGTGTCACACAAGAGTGACATAATGAAATGACCCTACAATGATTGAATGCAAATAACTCCTGGGCGGTTCAACGGCGACAGATGTGTTTTGGCATCAGTTTCTAGGACTGTTTGGCACACATTTCGTCGTTAATTTTACAAAGTGACGTATCTCAATAAAACTCTGATTTGAGATACGACACTTTGTGAAATTAACGACGATTTGTGTCGCATGGTTTCAGGATTGGATAATCTGTTTCAGTCTTAAGCTTGTGGCAGTTGTGGTTCATATCTTGATTCATATCGTCTCTCAACTAGTGCGGATTTCTGTTGCTTCTAGACTCTCCTACTGGAGTTTGACGTTACAAGGTAACACTCACTGGATATTGAACAATAATTATCGCCTATACAGCGTAGCCGAGAGTCTAGAACAGCTAACAGTTTATGTCACACATGTGTGTCGCACGGTTTGCCATTGTGTGAGGTGGTAAATTTTAATGGAAAACTTATCGGAAACCGATGTCACATACATGTGACATCAAATGTTGATACAAAAAATATATAACAAAACACATATAACCTGTAAAAAATATATAATTTAAGTTATGCTACCCAAAAAAACGCGGTTGGTTTCTTGAAACCAACCGCGTTGCTTGCATCGTCAAATTTCATAATAGCGGTCGTGAAAGTGTTACTATTTGTACCTAGGTATGGTACCTATGTAGGTGATCTGTGACACTGTATAATACATATTTACCAATTATTTATTAAGGATATTCTGTTTTTAAATTTTCCGCACCTGTCTGTAGTAGGTAGGTATACCTGGAACCTGTAAGTAGGTACCTGTATAGGTACCTACCAATATTGAGTATTCTACTTTTCCGCACTAGTACGGAAAAGTAATGCGGAAAAGTGGTTATTTCATGATCTAAATGCTTCCGGTCGCGGAAAAGTGAGGTTTGACGCAAGCTTTCGAATTCGAACCCTTCCTAAACTACCCAAAAATCTACAGAAAAATTTCCTTTGTCAAATTATTCAATTAATACCTATCAACCTTTAAATAATGTCTAAGGTTGTTTTTGACTGATAATGGGATTCCCAGAAATGCAAAGTGCGAAACAGAACAGCGCACCCATGGCCGCCGCCCGCCATTTAACAGCCACTCGACTCGCTGATTGAACCTCTTGGATCAGACCCAAGGATATTATACACTACACAGGTTTGCTCATCTGTCGGTATTTTTCGGATCATAATAGGCATTCCCGGAAACGGTGTTCCGATTAACCCGAATCAGATCACCAACTAATTAAAATTGTCTTTTTTCAATTGGTCATCGGGTGAATCGGAACATCGTTTTCGAAAAGCTCTATTGTGTTGCGCTGCTGCGTCAGCGGTTTTTTAGAGTGACATTTCTAGGCGGCGCCGGCGGTTTGATATTTGGACGACAATGGGGAGTGATTTGAAAAACGCATCACGAGCAAATTTCGTTACTTGAGAGAAAAGAAATATACAACGTAAGGAGATGGAGAAAGACAGCTATACTATAAACGTCGATATCTCAGTGACGTCACTACAGATGCGCGTCTTCTTTTTGTTATATTATTATTATTGTGTTCTGTGATTATTTTCATCATTCATACATTTGTGTCCTGTGCTTTTTGGAGTGAAGTTTCTTAGGCGGCGGTCTGATATTTGGACGAGAATGGAGAGTGCTTTGAAAGACGCGTCACGTTTTGGCAAATTTCGCGAAAAAAATATAACGTTGAGGGACGGAGAAAGACAGGCAATGACAGTTGACGAACGATTGACACAAACCAAGGATTATAAACTATTATTGTCAAACGCCGATACTCTTGTGATGTCACTATAGATGCGCGTATTCCTTTGTCTTCACTCCGACTCTTTACGCTAAGTGTCAAAATTGTATGAGCGGGGGATAGTTTTCGAGAAGTTTTACTTCCACCATGTGTACGGCGTTGCACATATTTTTCTGGTTTTTGTTGATTTTTGAACGACGAATCGATAAATAAGTATTCACTTCTATCATGTGTACTGTGCTGCACGCGATTTTTTTTTTCATTACCTGAACTAGGAAAATTATACATTTAAAATTTTTCGTATGGGTGCTCCGCACCATAATATATTCAGTATGGGTGCTTGCGCCCCCATTGCACCTAGCTTGTGTAAGCAGAGTCACATTGGCGATTTCTAAAATAATTTAGTGGAATTTGTGGTAAATAATTACGGATTTGCGGTAGACATAGTTTTGCAAATGTGTCGGCAATGTGTCATCAAAGAATTGACAGAGAAGGCACAAGTACGAAAACCATTCCCACTTTCCTTTAATGTGTTGTGCCACGGTATTCCACTTCCCACACATAAAAGAAACATAAAGGTTGCGGTTTCGACACATGTGTGTGCTCTTAGGCACATCGATCTAATAAATACAATTACGTATTTATTCCTTAAATGAGTCCAAATTTTGATCACTGGGATTAGTTTAAAAATTACATGTTTCAGGTGAATGTCTTACTTGAACAGTTCAACAGTATATTGAGGATTAGATGGCTGCGGAACTCGCTGCGCTCGTCCCGCAGAGGTCCACCCATAAGTTCCGCAACAATCCACTTATTTGGACTTGAACAGTAACTTAATAGATAAAGTCAGAATTTGTAATATTATCCACTTTTTGTCAATTTGTCTTTTGACAGGAATTAGTAATGTTACTCGACCAAACTAGTAATATATTGTGATAAGTTATTCAAGTACAAACGAGTGGATTTGTTCTGGAACTTATGGGTGGACCTCTGTGGGACGAGCGCAGCGAGTTCCCCAGCCATTTACTCACCAATATACTGTTGAACTATCCAAATAAGACACTCACCTCACCTGTAGTTTTTGAACTAATGAAAATTCTATAAATCACCTCAAATTGCTTAAAATGATTTTGTTTCTGGAATTCTAAGTCCAAATGACCTGAAATTTTCAGGAATTGTAGTCCTCTATTGGGATAAAAATATCTTTAATAGAAAAAAAAACAAAGTTTTCCAAAATCTAAATCTTGTTTGATGATGACAGTTGGACACAAGGAAATAATAAATCGTCTCGAATCAATTATCCAATTTTGCATTCTTGCCAAAATTTTCGTAAATATTTATCAATATCAATAATAATTTTAAAGATAAATTGGAAGATTACTCAGTATCTACGTTTTTGGTCACATCAGCTCTATTTTAATTTCAAATTATGGATTAGGAAGACACCTATAACTTTTAACAACAGTTACCTAACTAAATTTTTGACTTGACCATTATGTGAACAAACTTAACCCTATGCGTAAATAAACATGATGTTTTTTTAAATATAATATATTGTTTTTCATTCAAAACAAATTGGCTCGATCTTCAATACACCTACTTGCAAAGTGCGTCACAAAATAGTTATTTATGATATAAGTGCTAAAAGTGACATTTTATTTTGTGAAAAGGGAAGTTTGGGACACGACGCCGAAGGCAGAGTGTTCCATCCCTTTGAACAAAATAAAATCACTTTTAGCACGAATATCATACACTATTTTTTCTACAAAGGCACTAAAAGTGATTACTTTTAGCACTAGTGCTAAAAGTAATCACTTTTAACACCAGTGTCATAAAATGGAATTTTAGACACTGACAGCATCCGTTAAAAATGACACTTTTAGTGACGTTTGTAGAAAAAGCTATTTTTTTTTTGTATACAAAATTTTATTGTCAAAAAACATTCTTCTGAAAAAACTTATAATTTATGAAATAATTAAGTTTATAAGTTTGCTGTCTAAATCTCTTTTTGATCTTCAAAGTAGAAACGATATTTTGAAAATTTCCACCTCCAACATAACACAAACATACAAAAAAGGTAATAGAACAAACACCATACGTAGCAATTTTGCGTCCACATCGTAGGGAGAGATCCCGGGAAGACGCCCCCGCATCCAGACGTCATCCGACGCTTCTCAAGACGCCCAAAACGACGCGCCGCGTCCCGACGCAGTCAGTGCCGAACAGCAGTCGCAGATCTCGACTCGTTAATACCGCCAACTTAGTAGGTTAGTACCCAAAAAAAAAAAAATTAATTAATATTGTGAAATTAGATTTTTTGTGATAGTTTTCCAATAAAGTTATTATATTGGAGCTGTAAGTATTTAGTGAATAATTTGTTGAGTTGCTGGTGAAATAAGTAGGTAATAGATGGAATTTCAAAATTAGTGCAGAATTATTGATATTATAAGTAGGTAATTTTCATTTAGGTGCCAGCAAAAATATAAAAAAACCAAAAATCAAATTTCTGCTGAAATTTTATAAGTTTATATAAGTATAATCCTATTTTTAGTTGTCCTCTTTAACACAATCAAGTGTCACCAATGGTTGATTGGGAAAAAAAAATCAATATAGATTTGTTGCTAGTTTGAAAATATAATTTTTTTTTTTTTGGCTTTTGACCTATTGAGTCGAAGTCTGAATTTTTTTTGCCAAGTATATGTACTTTAGTACTTAAAAGTGTCATACATCTTATAACTGTTTCAGATACAGGAAAAATAGTACAGTTGAATGAATCCTACTTATTTGTGCTTTGCCCATTTTCGCATTTTTGTTAATGTTTCTATCTCTAGAGTGTAAAGAATTTTGCATATTATTTTTTTCTCAAATAATTGATTCTTGGTCATGTTAGGTAGACGTGGATGCATGTTTCAAAATCTTTAGCTGATGATGTTATTGAAAAACAAATTTGAAAACTTTTCTAAAATTCTCTCGTTCTTGTGTAGCATTTGACAGACTACGACTGCTCTGAAGTTTTCTTTTCCTAAAACTAATAGCACAAGTCTATTTTCGATCCAGCCACCATCAGCCGATCAGTTACTGGTCGCGCCTGAGTGCGAGTTTATACAAAAATAGGCAGGAGCGTATAGCGTTATGTAAATTTATTATGTTAGCGAAATTTTATACGATAATTTGTATTCGTTGCCCGTTTCTGAAAAAAGTTTGGGAAATTTTGGCAGCGATTCCGTAAATTCTCACTGTCTCGAGATGCTAATTTTAAAGGTATTATTTTCAATGTGAAATTTTATTTTAGTAAGCAAATTTATCATCTTTGAAGTTATATTTTTTTCTGGCTAATTAGTCTGTCATAATATTACTGATGCTGAGGTTTTTCTAAAAAATTTCATGTAGGTTATAGTTAGCTAGACTAGAAGCAGAAAATTCTTTATAAAAATAACCCACGATCAAATTTAGAACGGCATCTAATCGTATGTTGGTATATAGAGAAACTACTACAACCTACTATAAATGCCTTGACGTCAACGCAACGCAAATTTAAATTCCCAATATTTGCAAAATTGAAGATTTTCTATTACATATCTTTAAATGTAACAATAAATATGCAATGCATTAAAGCCGTTTTCTCACGTCTTCTTTTTTGACATTCGTTCAAAACAGTTTTGAAACGTTTCAAACCTGTTGGAAAAAAGTGGACGCGAGAAAACGGCTCAAGAAAACCGACGTCGAGACTCTTAGCAGTGGCGGCTCGTCAGAGGAGGCAGGGGAGGCTAAACCTCCCCCAAAAAATTGAAAATTCAATCTCAATTTTTATTCCTGATTTCTAATTAAAATAATAATTAACAAATTACACTTTCCAATTTTCGATATTTCAATGTAATTTAGAAAAATCTGACAACATTATTTCAATCAATTCCGCGCCTCCACGACAAATATCTGTGAATCTGGGATACTCAGTAATACCGGCCCGAAGGGCCGGAGTTATATGCGAGCCCGAAGGGCCGGAGTTATATGCGAGCCCGAAGGGCCGGAGTTATATGCGAGCCCGAAGGGCCGGAGTTATATGCGAGCCCGAAGGGCCGGAGTTATATGCGAGCCCGGCCCGAAGGGCCGGAGTTATACACGAGCTCGAAGGGCCAGAGTTATACGCGAGCCCAAAGGGCTAGAGTTATTTTAATCACGGGACTCAGTCAGCGAATAATTTGGAGCTAATCAAAAACCGAGAATATTTAAAATGCGATTTTTAGCGTCTGATCAAAGAGTCGGGAATATTCAAAAACTTTAGTTTTATCAAATTGGCTTTGGAATGTTGGTTTTCTTAAGATTTATACTTTTTTCAGAAAACGGTGGTTTTTGCAAACATATCCTACTTTATCATTGTCTTTGTCTTACTCACTATAATCAATAAGGAAACCTTGTAATGTCATTTCTTATGATTTATTTGGAGTATTTTAATTATTATAATCATTATTAATTATTAAATTGAATTTCAAACAAAAAACCCTTTTAAAATGTTATTTTTGTTTTCCGAAATGAGATGTGGCAACGTTGTTTTTAGTTGGCCATTTTGAAATGACGCCTTGTAATTTTTTGCCAGTTTTTCCTCGAATTTTTCACTTTTCCGGGGCTTTTCAATGGAAAAAGGCAATTTAACATACGACGCTTTAAGTTTTCTTCGTTTTCTAGCAAAAATGTCCAGTTTTAAAATGACATAAATAATAAAATTCCATTTAAAATGTTTTTTTTTTAAGTTTAGATGTGGCAACACCGTTTGTACCAACTTCAAATAGGTTTTGTAATAAATGTCATTTGCCAGTTTTGACAGTCGTCAATTTTTAATTGACTTGTTCACATTTCTATCCAGTTTTTCCTCGAATTTTCCGCTTTTCCAAGCCGTTTTCAGTCAAGAAAACCGATTTGAAATACGAGGCTTTGAATTTCCTACATTTTATGCTAAAAATTCCCAGTTTTCCAATGGGGTAAGTGACAAAAACTCAAATTTCATTAAGTAGGCTCTGGAATGTCATTTTTAGAGGTTTTTCTTTGAATTTGTCCGCTTTTTCAGGGCATTTCTGGTCGGAAAAACCGATTTAAAGTACGAGACTTTGAGTTTTCTTAATTTTCCACCAAAAATTTCCAGTGTTTTAACGGGGTAAGTGAGAAAAACTTTAGTTTTATGAAGTAGGTTTTGGAATGTCATGTTCGTTGGTTTTTTTTTTGGAATTTTTGATTTAAGGTTTTTGGGGTCCGGGGATCGTTTTCTATCACTTTTTTTTTCGAAATTCGCAAAATAAAAATAAAAACTTTTTTGACGTTGACAGCTGTCAATTTTTTTTGACACAAATCGATAGTTAGCGTCGCGAAACTGCCTTGTACCGGGGTTTGATTTTCGTAGCTTTTATAGTAGAGCGGAGAAAAAGTCGAACATGTGTCAAATTTGACAGATGACATTTGTCGATAATTCCTTGAAGTTTCATTGGACTTTCGAGAAATTTTCGGTTATGAACGTGGATATTCTCATAAAATTACATGAAATTTTAAAGAATTTTATGAAAATTTTGTGGAATTCCAGGATATTTCAGTGGTAAAATTTTGAGGAATTTTAGTAAAGTTAAAAAAACAAAATATGGAATTTTGAAATTGAAATCTTAGTGGAATTCCGAGGAATTTCATGAAATCCTATACTGTTATTAGCCTCCTCACTTGAAATAGTCACGAGCCGCCACTGACTCTTAGTTAATTAAAAATAACTTAAAGCCGTGCAGACTCTACTAAATTTATAGCTCAGGTGGTGCCGCAAGGTTGAAGGAGCTATATTTATTACTAGATTCACGATTTGTTTAGCCTAGTTTTACAGAGTGTAGGTCAATTTTGAACTTGAACTGACAATTGGTAAAACGTGTTTAGGTATCAAAATAGATGGATAAGTACCTACTACTTTTATAATCAGGTTTTTACGAATTCTGAGGTATATTAGCTTTGTTGAATTTCTAAAGCTCCAACTTAACACAAACGAATGAATTTTGAATTAAAATGTCATGTACCTACCTACGTACACTCATCATAACCATGAATAACGAAATGTTTTAAATTTAAACTGTTTTCGTGTTTACCAATTATCGCTATGACACATTAAAGTAAAAGTGGCTCGGATGTACGAAAATAGACTTTCGATTACATTCCATTATGACGATTTGTGAGCGTCAAGCATTTTAAAGTACACAGTGGCTCTTGAATAAATCAACAACTATTTTGAAAAGAAAGCAAATCAATATAATGAAAAATCTAATTCGTATAATAATCTATATACCACGCAATTTTAAAAATAGAATTCGCGCATGACGTTTCATCAAAAAGCAACTGATCCCTCTATTTCATTGAGACCAAAATAGTCCGTGCGATCGCCAGCCAGTTGACCGGATCTGACGCCATGGAATCCAATGAGATTTGGGCGCTTTTTATTTACTTTTTAGCACATGTTTTGATTGGAATCTATTTTGCACTTATCAGTTAAACACAGGGAGAGATAGAAAGTTTTGACAATTATTATTATACTTAAAAGGATATTGATTCTCTATCATCAAATAAGAAATCTTTCAAAACTTGGTTTGTTTTTTCAAGACGAACGACCAAGTAAACCACTAGAAAAGTAGCCGAAAACACACACACAAACGACAAAATGTTCAAGAACCACCTTGAGATGATCAGTCTCAACGAGACCCCATCGAAAAAAGCCAAATTTTGGCAATCCTTTGTAAGATCTCTAAAAGGTGAGCAATCAACTTTATAAAATCACAAATTCAAAACTGATATAATAATATATTCAGGATCTGATGACTTGAGGGCCTCCGACTCTTACTCAGCCAGGCCCAGAGGTATTTTCAGGCCTCTCAGCGATCTTCCAGAGCTCGGTTCCACCTGGCCCTACACCAAGTCGATCTACGACGAACCCAGCGTGGCTTCTGAACGCATCCACGTACCTGGATACCGTTACGATCCTCTTCATCGTGACACTTATGGATATTCACCCAGAGCAATCTATCCACATAATTATGGATCTTTGGACAGATACAGGCCTGGTAAGTCTACATCTACATCTTACAGACGCTAAGAGAGGATTTTATTATACTCATAAAAAGGCTGTAGTTTTAATTTAAAACAGCGATAATATTTTAATACAACTGATGCTGTACTTATCGGCGTTTTAAATTAATAAAGTCTTCTTTGAATTCAATACTAAGCCTTATGGTGGTACCTAAATCCACTATCTGCCAATGTCAGTGCGTTTAAATCAAAGAACACTTTTACAATTATTATTTAAATGTTTTCGCTTGTGTCGTTCGCTATAGGATTTATGTCTAACGTTTAAATGTACCTATAATATCTAGATCTAATAATTATTATTGTTTTATGTAGGTAATCTTGTAATAATATATTTGATAATATATGATGATTGTACAGCCTCATACAGTTGAAATAAAAACAATTTTAAAAGCCATATTTAGGTACACTGTGTGCGCCCCGCAAACGCTTGAGCTGTCACTCACCGATATACATTTTCTTTTGATTTATTCAATATTCACCTGGACCCTACTTTTTTACTTTGAACCACACAGTTTATAGTATTTGCGACTTATAAAGTAAGTGGTAAGTAAAGTACCTACATTACATGAAAAAAGTTTTAAGTGTAGAAATTATAGGCTCAACTTTCGTTAGGCTGAAAACCTTGTTCAGATGAATTTACTGTAAAGGTTACTACAAAAATTACAATATAACAGATTTTTATAATGTGAATGCAAATATTTAGTAGGTACTATTGCTATTTCTGTGGATATTGTATGAGAAAAGAAGTAGGCTCCAAACTCAACTTAATCCAAAATTAATTCAACTAATGTGGCTTCTTTAACAACGCAAGCACCTGCCTGCTCCAGCATTTGCCAGGGCGATCCACATACGGTTTTTTTTTTCTCACACCCATACCCCAAGATCCTTTTTTTGTTTTATTTGAAAAAGATACATATTTGAAGATATCTGTTTATTTTTGAAGCAGCATTTTTGGAAGTTTGACACGCAGGAATCGCCTTGGAGGTAAGACGAGTGCTTGGTTCATTCATTTTTTGGCTAACATTGAGCGTTTTTCCCTTTACTAACATTATTAATTTTATTTATAATGGCTTAAAATATTTAATTTAACCTTGGGGACACCATTAATTAGGTTTAATTCTTGCAAATTTGATTACCGAAATTCCAGATGTTGGCTGAGAAAGTGAATAAAAAGTAAAAACATCCACTTAATCATAGATGACAATAATTAAAGTATTGCCTAACAACTTTTGGCTGAAAGAAGATGTATTTTTAAAATAAAATGCGCTTTTGTAAGATGACGTCAGCCAACAAAAATTTAAGTGGGAGGTGAGAAATAGATTTCAGGATTTCGTTTAAAGTTTGAGCAAACCATTCGAAGTTTAGTTGTTTCGTATCTCACGTCGGCCAGGAAAATAAAAATAGATAATGGGTAAGCTTTGGGATTATTTTTAGATGAGGCTTTCAAAATTCGCTGAAAGCATTTATATTTGCCTACTTGCAATTTAGTTTCCTTTTTAATAATCAACATTAATTATTGTTCAGCTTACCACGTCACCAAGCCAAAAGCATTTGACGCAGACGGAGCATGGAGAGACCACGTCGATCGCGTCAAAGGACGTGAACCGAGCCAGTGGCCCAGCAGCATTTTCCACACCACTTATCCGTTTTCGCGCTACCCACTCTACTTGGTCTACAGCAAAAGGCCCCCACCAGCTGCCGACAAGTACGATCCTCACCGTTCTTGGTTGGACCATTTGGACCGTATGGCCGAGCTCGACAAATTGTACCCTACCTTGTGGCCCTCGACTGGAAGCAAACTGAGCCCCACACCAATTAAGGTACTAATTTTTAATTAACATTTTTTGTCCTTCACTTCAATTATTATATCACCTATTTTCTCCTCCAATAATAATTTGTTTTGTTTTCAGCCTGGCCGTTACGCACCCCGTCCATCTGAGGTAGCTTTCAATTACGCCGGCCAACCGATCTGGTCCAGACCAAGTAAGAGCCTCTTTAACGATCTCTTAAACCCCTCTCCCTCCTTGCCCATCTCAGCCGTGACTCGCGACCCCTTCTGGTGGGACTCGCCCCTTAAACCAGCCTCAATCCACAACCCCTGGGGCAAGTCTCCTTTCTACTTGCGCGACTCGTACCTGTCGCCAGTCAAAAGGACATTCTTGTGGGACAAACACCCCATCAGGCCGTTCGGTAAGTCGACGAAGCTTGGCTTGAGCTAAACCCGATGAACCGATCTGCTGATGATGCTTTGCTTTAGTGATTAAGCATGCGACGTAACGATAAAATGTCTAAAAGTGCATACCATTTGATTCAGCTTGGTTTTTTTTTAACTACTTTTTTTCGCAGTTGCTACCCATTTAGGGTAGTATGCTTTTTCGTTGAAAACCTAGCTTTGATTATAATTAGATATAAATATTTCACAATAAATAGGTAGGTAGTCTTCTCAAAGAAAAACTGAATATCTGCAAAAAAAAAACAATTTAGGAGAAAGGATCTTTTGGAGAAAAATCAGGGAATTTGCAAAATAATAGCTCAGAATGCAGGATCTAAGATCTATATGTACCTACTCTTGCCCAAGGGCGCCCACAGGGAGGGTTAGGGGGGGTCACTCGACCCCCCCTGGAAATTTCTTAAATTTTAATTATTTTCAATATATATTATATTGTAGGTCCGATGATGCTCGTATGAGCGAAACGGACATACTTGAATTCGGCCACAAACCAGGTAGCTGCAGTAATCCTACCTTTGAATTCGACCAAATTATGAAACCCAATCTACTTCCCATAAAACTTACCTTATGATGTTGACAGATTTTGCATTGCATTTTTGTTAATAAATCTAAAAAAGTATAAATATGTAGGATTTTGATGCGCAAAATAAAAAGATCTACCAAAATGACTATGGAAAGATTCACAGGCATTTGTTGTCTTATCCAGGTCTATCGAGGCATGTGCCATGTGTCGATGAGATAATCTGAAAATTTAACTAGAACTTCGTGATTCGGCTGAATAGCTAACAACTCGAAAACAAATAAATCGCTAACTTCTTGATTCTCCAAAAACATCATTCCAAAACAATTATGTAACGATTTACCGATTTCTGAATCTTTTTTTTTTTTATTCAATGCTTAAGCCTAAGTTTTGGATCTTCCTCTACCATGCCTGAGATTTTAGCTATTTATAAGAAGTAAATAAGTTAATTTAATATCTATATCTCAGTGTACCGATTTGCATATTGATAAATTGTCACCGTTTCCTTATTCCGGAACTGGTGAATTTTGTGGCTGAGTTCAAGGATCCCGGAGCTAAACACATGTCACTATTAAGTGAATCAAATAATAAACAATCTGTGTGGCTTTTCAAATTATGTTTTTGCTTAAATTTTGCATTGCAAGTGTCACATTCAAAAGGATAAATATCCGAGTGTGTTGAAAATGTGCCTTTGTAAATTACTTTTCTTCAAATTTTGCCTTGCAAGTGTCACATTCAAATGGATAAATACCCGAATGTGTTAGTTAGTTTGTGTATCTAGAAATCGCGTTTCCGTTTAAATTTAGATTTGCAAATATCCCATTCAAAAAAATTGAATATCCAAGTGTATCAATATGTGTTCCTTCAAATCGCCTTCTCTTTTCAATTTTGCATTGCAAATGTTACACATTTGAAATTCTCCTCATCCGAGTGTGTTAATATGTGGCTTCTCAAACTACGTTTGTGTTCAAATTTTGCATTGCATGTGTCACATTTAAAAGGATAAATATCAGACTGTGTTAGTTTGTGTCTCTTTAAACAGTCTTTTCTTTTGAATTTTGCTTTGCAAATGTCACATTCAAAAAGATAACCATCGAAGTCTGTTGATATGTGACTTCTCAAATTACCTTTTTGTTTAAATTTTCCTAATTTAAATTTTGCATTGCATATGTTGCATTTAAAATTCTTCTCGTCCAAGTGTGTTAGTTTGTGACTTTTCAAACTGCCTTTTTTTTAATTTTGCTTTGCAAATGTTGCATTTAAAATTCTGATTCTGCTTCTAAAATGATAATTTAGACTGAAGTGCCCTTTTTTACGCATAAAAAATTTATTCAATTGATTTTGACCCCCCCTACATATTTTTCTGCGGGCGCCCCTGCTTGCCTATATCAGAATTCGAAAAAATAATAAACAAAATTTCCGAACCGTTAGGAAAACAATTTTTGTTTGTTTGTATATGCTCAATTTCGGCTTAGTCCGTAAGTCTCTTCATTTTCAGCTTAGGCGGTAAAATACCTACTGACCATACCTTCCTATACCTGTTTCCCCTGCCAATGCATAATCAGTTTAAAATTTATAATGTCAAAAATATTAAGTAAATATATTTTTGTCAACAAAATTCAGTCAATTTTTGGAAAGCTATTACAAAAAAATATTGTTTGTATCACTTAGGCACCTAAATTAGGTTTTTTCGGACTCATTTGCTATTCCGGACTCGGCTACAGGTACTTGTTACAAAAATAGCTAAATTACCTATACAATATTATTTATATTACCTATACAATGTATATGTTACGGTTAATATGCAAACTTGGCTAGTTTGTAAACTAGCTGGATAGTTTACAAACTAACCAACCCCTTGGCTATTTTGATAGAAAACGCAATTTTTACTAAAATAGCAGCTAGTTTGCAAACTAACCAAAAGTCTTGGCTAATTTACTTGCAATTATTAAGAAAACTGAAAACTAAATTAGTTGGTTAGTTTATAAACTATTCAATGCAGCCTGGCTAATTTGAAAACCATGATTTCTAGTAGGTAACACAAAATAGCGAAGTTTATAAACTAACCAAACATTTGGCTAGTTTGTGAATTAGGCAATCCAATCCATCTGTCAAAAAGAAAAATTCAATATGGCGTGGCGGCCAGAAAGTTTTTTTTCATGCCTATTCTAATTATTTTGCTTCGAGTTTTGCTTGCAGCTTTGATTTTGATTAATCAGTAGAGTAAATTATTAAGTCGGGCAGAAACTAGATATTTTTTTGTGTTTTTTGATCCATGTGTGGCCGCCACGCCATCTTGAATGTCACGTGGTTTGGAATAGTTTGGTTTGCCTAACTAACCAACCAATTTTCTGGCTAATAAGGCTCTCCAAACAACGTTATTTTTCAATATGGCCACTGAGGAAAATTTGACGTTTGTTTGTTTATCTTAAGATTATTTGGAATATTTTCGAGCTAATTACAGTTTATATTGTTATAATATACTTTTTGAGATGCAGAGTGAATATTCAAAGACTCTAATGCAGGAAAATCGGGATGTGGGCGAACGATAAGTTTGAAAAAATGTCTAGTTGACATTTGTTTACATTGTGACCTAGTTTTTACAGCAATGAGCAAATGAAGACCTACAAAAGCTTAAATTCTTACACGTTTTTCGAGTATGGCTTTATTTTAGATGCAGGAAGAACGGTACTGAATAATTTTTACGTTTTAATTGGAAAAATTTGAAAGGTTGAGCACTGAAAACAACCTGACATCATCCTTGTTGAAACGCCTTCTAAAATCAACTACAAGACACCTTTGTGGCATTTTTAATTAGAAATTAGCCTTATGAAGTCAATAAAATAAAAAAATAAATAGGGTTTAGTCACAAAACTACCACACAATGCACTTTAAAAAGCTTTAAATTCTGTACTGTCATATACGGAATGAGGAACTTCCGCCCCGAACGCCATTTTGGAATAGTTTTGACAGATCGTTAGAATTAGGCAATTCAAACCACGTGACACTCAAGATGGTGTGGCAGCCAAACATGGGCCAAAAAACACAAAAAAAAAATATCTAGTTTCTGCCCGATTTAATAGTTTAGATACCTAGTCAACAAATATCATATTAAATAATTAAAATCAAAGTTACAAGCAAAACTCTAAGCAAAATAATTTAAAATACACATAAAAACATATTCAAAACAAGCTTGCTTGGACGCCACGCCATATTGAATTTTCCTTTTTGATAGATGGATTAAATTGCCTAATGCCTAATTTACAAATAAAGTTAGGTTATGTTTTGAATATGGAATGTTATTATTATGTTATTGTTTGCTGTTTGCTGTCCTGGGGCCTTATTCTGTAAGGAACGAAGCGTTCGATTCGGTAGAATTTTTTCGATTGTGACGTCATTTTAGGTTTGGTAGCGCGAAAACGAGCGAAAACTAAACCGAAAATGACGTCACAATCGAAGAAATTCTACCGAATCGAACGGTTGTTCCTTACAGAATAAGGCCCCTGGCCGGGTTTGTTTTTATATTTCATAGGAACAGCAACAGTTAATAAAATGAATTACAGAGAAAAATTTAACGCCTCTTTATTAATTCTCTATAATAACAAAGCAAATAATTTTCCATAAACTCTACAATGAAAGTAGATAAAGTGCACAAAAATCTGATTATTATTTCATTACGCATTACAATTTAAAAGGAGTTGATGCACAATAGATTTTCTTCTTAGTAAAAAATCTGACAAAATATTAGCTTGCATGGAGATTTACTGTAAATTTCCATCTAACTTTATTTGTAAATTAGCCAGAAAATTGGTTGGTTAGTTTATAAACTAGCCAAAGGTTTGGCTATTTTGTGTTACTAGAAATTATGGTTTTCAAATTAGCCAGGCGGCATTGGATAGTTTATACACTAACCAGCTAATTTAGGTTTCTCAATAATTTCAAGTAAATTAGCCAAGACTCTTGGTTAGTTTGCAAACTAGCTGCTATCAGTGTTGCCAGGCCATATTTTGTTTTGTCAGTAGGGGTACCTAAACCAAAGACCAAACTCTTAGAGCAGGTAAAGGTAAAAAGGTGGTGTTAGAAAATGAAGTATTTTTCCAGGTATTTTGGCACCAAAAAAATGGCGGTATAGGCAATACAATGCTTTACCTGTATTTTGGTGCCAAACACCTGCCAAAAACTTGGCTTCACTTTAGTTTCATGGGCAAAATGACGCGTTCCTACTCCTTATGTCCGTATATATAATGAAATATAGGGCATCCCATTTGAAAAAAACTAGAAGCAGGCAAAATTTCACATTTCTGACATTCAAATTTTGTTTCTGACCATGGTTTCTAAAAATTCAGCCAAAACTGTACAACTTTTGTATTTACACCTTTTTTGTACCTGTAAAGGTAAAGGAGGTAGGTGGAGTGTCAATATACACAGTGTGTAAAAAGT